GTTATTCACCACAGACGATTTATTGAGAGTTGAACAATGTTGCGAAATGATTATACATGTGCATTATTGGACTGCTGCTCAGTGGTATAGAGTTTAAGCATATGCGCGAAATGTTGAAGGTCTTAAGTTCGTTTCCTGGATGTGGAATAGCAAGAAAGCACTACTGAACAGGTCAAAATAACTGTCTAGTGCTTTCAGGTACTCAAGTTGTGGTTTTAAAACAAAATTAGTATGTTTCTCATCACATTTCCAATTTCCATCGATAAACTTCGATTCAGTAGTAATGAATATCACAATTTGTTTATCATAACAGAAGTTTGATTAAAATAATTAATGAATGTCACATAGAAAAAATGATTTTAAATCATGAACAGAATAATTAAACTTTATTTACTTCCTTATTTTTAAAAAAATTAACTCTATTAATTTTATTGATGTCACCTTTCAGTAATAGTCAAAAAGGAAGTGAAAGTTATTCATTTCTCTTATCTAAGTAAATCATGGAAATTCATTTCCTGTTAACTTGAACGACTTTCTGAATCTAATTTCGAGAAAGTGAATGTCACACTTGATAGTGGTTTTCGTTTTCCCCCACCTCATACAGAAAACGTAAGATCGATTGATAAAAACATAATAACAATCATGACAAAAATCAAGGTTAGGTGGAAATATCTGAATGGAGGTTAATGACCCAGAAAGATGGCAATGGATAACATTAATTCATTTTCGGATTGGTCGTTTGGATATTCCTATTGATGACACTATGGATCAACGTTCAACAACCAATTGCATGAAAATCTATTGACCACGAGAAGGAGTTTGACAATCTGAACAGGAAAACCTTACCGAACCTTATTCGACACTACGGAGTGAATAACTGAAATGATAACAACTATCATAGGAAATTCATTCAACGGATTACACTGCAAAGTTATATATGAAGGACACCTGATAGACTTATATGAAGTAAGGACCGGAGTCAGACAAGTCTGATTACTCTCTCTTCCTGTTTCTTCCTTTTGTCGACTGGATTACGAAGACCTTGATATCTGAGGGGATGCACGGAATACAATGAACAGCTTGAATAAGGCTAGGCGATTTGGATGGCACAAGTGGCCAGGCTCTTCTATCCCATACACATCAACAAATGCAGGTCAAGTCAATCAGTGTAGCAGAAGCCTCTGTATCAGTAGACCTTAATTAACACAAGGGAAGAACAAACATCCTAAAATGCAATGCAGTGAACACCGATCCAATCACATTTGATATAGAGATTTTGAGGAGGTTGGAACGTTCACATATCTGTGCATTATCATCAACGAACGTTGAGGATCTGAAGCAGATAAGAAGTCAAGGATCGGTAAGGCAAGGATAGCATTCCTACAATTGATAAATATATGGAACTGAAAACAACTGCCAACCAAAATCGAACTTCAAGATAGTTCTACTGTATGGAGCTGAAACTTGGAGAACTACTACAGCCATCGTCAAAAAGATATAGGTATTTAGAAACAGTTGTGTACGTACTGAATGTTCGTTGACTTGATATCATTAGTAGCAACACACTTTGGAAGAGAACAAACCAACTTCCATCTGAGGAATAAATTATGAAAGAGCACTGGAAGTGGATAGGATATACCTTTAAAAAATCACCAAACTGAATCACGAGGCAAGTCTGAATTTGGAATCCTGAGTTCAAAGAGAAAGGAGGCAGATCAAAAAGTACATTAGACCGGGATTTGGAAGCAGATGTAAAAAGAATGAATGGAACTTGGAAATTACTGTAATGGATTGCATAGGACACAGTTGGATGGAGAATGAACGTGGGCGGCCTACGCTCTTCCACGAAGGGTAACAAGAGTAATCAATCAACGGTATATGGATGTGAACATTGTTTACTTTGAATGGAGATCCTTGACATATCAATGTTAGTCACCCATTGAACTTCCAATCACTGAGTTCAGCAAGGTCATATATACATATATTACTGATTTCCCTCTCCCTCATCTAGACAGAAACCCATTAAATATGTGATTATTATATCTTAATCTTTTGTATAGTCGTTCCTATCGTTTTACAAATTATTTATACACCTTTTAATATTTTCGTCAATAGACTACTTATATATTCACTAATCCTACGTTTTTGAACACATTGGACAGTTAAAATATTTTTATATGTTGCTTTCTCGGATATTTCAGGACAAAATAAGCACAGTTCTAAGAATATATCTTTGATAAGTTCTAGCTGATGAAAATACGCTTCATTCTTATGTTTTGCATCGAAATATATATAATATTAATCAATATTTTTAACATCCCTTTAAAAAAATTATCAGTGAAAATATGGGAGAACTTATTTAATTAGGCTACTCCATAAGGTAAATTTTCATAGAGTGGTTTTATGGAGATTATAGTAACTTAATAATTGAATTCATGAATCATTTGAAGTTAGAACACCATGTAAAACCTGGATGCACTGGACGGCTGTTTCATCCTAGTATGGGACTACTCAACAGTGAGCATCTACGATACCGCCCACGAGATTCGAACCCAGGACCTAGCAGTCTAGCGCTCGAACGCTTGACATTCAGACCACTAAGCTGGACGGCATCCAACAGCGTTAATGTCTAACTTCAACCAATCCACCAAACTGCGCCACTATTTTCTTCTAACAAATATCTCATTGATTTTACAAATAAATGAATCACAGATTAAGTAACTCGACAACAAACATAAAGTTTTGTAAATAAGTGTAACCACTATTATTAAGGTGTTACCACCAGTATAATAAATATATTTTTAAACGTTATTTGTCCAATACAAGTACTTTTGATTCAGTAAACGAAATTGTTGATAGAATATAATTTTAAATTGAAGTGACTTCTAGACGCTTGTCCACTATTAGCAATCTATTTTAGTTATATTTACAAAACAAAAGCGACTGATTGAAGACTAAAGCTTGGCATTATGTTGGGCAGATTTAGTAATTCAGATAGTTGACTTTAGTATTGTGATGGGACTTTTATTTTTCATTCTAAACAATACCTAATAATAACTTGGTCGACTCTGCAAATAAATAGCTCAGTTCAGAGAAAATAATACAACTAAAACTTGATCTAATTATCATGATTATATGTGTCAGTAAGTGACTGTCAGTTAATGTTATATACATATTCTACACAGGACAAGTTATTTTAACGAACTAATTTTAATGCTATCCTAATAAGTTGAAACCGCTTCATATCAATCTTAAGAACTTTACTGTTGTGTTAACTAGCTCTAGATTGAATTCTTTTCAACACAAAGTTTATTATTGACATTCCATTTTACGGATCTTTGATTAGAGTTCGTTGATTACAGAACAGTATATTAAAATATTTTGATACTCCTATTATCTATTTGTTTTGACATGAATCTATAATTTGTTAAACTAGATTTTTGTATTTGAACAAATCATGTGTACTATAAGTATAAAACGATAAATTCTTTTTACATTGTTCACGTGGTTATAAGTTACAATAAGATGAAATGATAGATGTCATCCCATCTACATATTACACATTTTACTGACAGGATAAAACCCACGATGAGTTTTGTTGAGGTGCATAAAATACACATGAGTGTGATCTACATTGATTAATTCTTTTTCTATGCATTTGAAGGTGTTGATTCATAAACTACTTTGATTGAGCACATTTGTTAGTTAGTGAAATATACAAGAAAACATGAAGAGTCATATATCAGTTTCAACTTAGTCTACAATTGTTTATAAGCTCTCATTACTAGATCAATGTTATTTCTAACCAGTGATCTTGATGTGACTCAAAATGGACACTATCATTATATTTTTGGTTTGAATTTAAATATCCTACATTTTCCCAACCATATTGTGATTTAAGAAAGCTCGATCGAATGAAAAATTATATGAACTTTTTGTAAGGAATTAATCTGGTCACTTGGCTCCCAGAAAATCTAAAAATATTTGTCACATTATCAAGAGTATAAACTAGAAAGAATGTATGATCTTGTTCTTAGTAGTTTTCAGCTTTTCCTTCAGTTTATCAAAAAGACAAAAGTTTTGAATATATATGCCTGACAAGAAATAATTAGTTCTTATTTTGTTATTTTATCCAAATAAAATAAATGTTTAACTTGTTTAAGTAAGTAAGATAAAACTTACTTGCATAGTTAATTACTGCTGTTACTCCTCGTGCAGGAGCACAGGCCGCCCACTCTCCACCCAATCTTGTCCTGGGCAATCCTTTCCAGTTCTTTCCAGTTGTTAATCATCCATTTCATATCTGATTCTATTTCTCGACGTAATGTGTTCTTTGTCCTTCCTCTTCTTCGCTTCCCTACAGGATTCCAAGTTAGGGCTTGCCTCGTGGTGCAGTTTGATGATTCGAGTAATAAATACGAAAGATACGAGCAAACCAAAACGGACCGGATAGTAGTTTCATTATATGATAAATATCTAAAAGCAAATGGACATCTGTAGTTTCACGCTCTAATTAAGATCAGTGTAATTCAGGACGTGCATTTATCCTATCTGGTACTCATCAGATGGATATATCCAAACAATCGGTATGCATATGAAAAGTAACAAGTGTCGATAATCGATGTACATACTTTAAGTCATATCAGTGATGATTAGTAGCATAACAACGACAAGTATAGAAGTATTAGAAAGTGATAAAGTGGATGAATGTTTACGTTATTATATGTGAAAAATTTAGAAGAATATTTTCAAAACACATGGAGACACTTTTGTATAAGAAAAATATTGATGTTAATTTGTTAATCAGCTTACAGTCAAATATATGGCTACGCTGATATATATTTTATAACGGATGATTAACATACACTAATGAAGTAGCACTATTTAACTATTAAGCTATATAGAACCTTATATGATGGTATGTTCAAAAGTAAACTCCTTATGAGGCATTATTTGCTATACTTAAATTTTTCATTCATTATTCTATATTTTAGATTCATATGAGACGTAAAAAGCAGAATAGTGATGCAGAAACTGAGACGACTGGAGTTCCATCGAATTATAGTAAGCGGAATCTTTTCTACATATGTCTAAAGATTTTTTACAACAAAATGTTTGTTATATTTTGTCTTTTGAATAAATTAACTCAATGAAATATATGATTATCCCCAATTAACTGTATAGAATAAATGAAGATATGAAGAAAGCGTATATACAACTACAGAAGTTGATGCCCACTGAGTTAATATTGTAGTATTTTTTTGTTCGAAGAGATTGACAATAATCTCTGAACTCAAGTCATATCAATGAATATATTTTTTGTTAAATACCAATGAGTAAAAAATAATGTTTCTGGTGTGACTTACATTTAGTTACGAAACGCCAGAAATACGACTTTTCTACTCATCTGTATATATTACAAAAAAATATATGTATTATTAACTATCTACTCTGATGCTCAGTTTATTTGAAACTATCAGGTTCAACCTTGGTATTATTACCTATAAACTCATTGTCTTATTAGTGGTGGAATTCATTATTAAGGCGGTGTATTTATTAATTTTCACACTATATGATGTCACAGTTAATTTCGTCATCAGCAAGATATTTCAGCTGCTACTAAAACCAAACTGCTACACACCTAAACATGAAACAAGTTAATTTTTAAACAGAACACTGTACTGAACATTAATTTTCATCAGACTGACAGTTGAAAATTATGGCTGTAAGTTAACAATCAGAATAATTAATTACTGCAACGAATCATGCTTTAAACAATAATGTAACAATAAATGTTTTTGTTTTATTACAAATATGAAATCACAAAAGCTGTAATCTTTATATCCTTATCTTACTTATATACGCCTGTTACTCTCAATGGAGCATAGGCCGCCGACCAGCATTCTCCAACCCACTCTGTCCTGGGCCTCCTTTTCTAGTTCCATCCAATTCTTGTTCATCTTTTTCTTGTCTATCTCCATTTCCCGGCGTAATGTGTTCTTTGGTCTTCCTCTCCTCCGTTGGCCTTGAAGATTCCATGTGAAGGCTTGTCTTGTGATGCATTTAGGTGATTTCCTCAATGTGTGTCTTATCCACTTCCACCGCTTCTTCATGATTTCTTCCTCCACTAGAATCTGGTTTGTTCTCTCCCACAGTACGTTGTTGCTAATAGTGTCCGGGCCCATAAAGTATCACTGTCTCGACATTTGTAGTGAAAATCCTGATTTTGGTGTTGGGTTGTGTACAGTTGTTTTGGGTTCCAGATGTTCTTCAGTTGTAGATATGCTGCTCTTGCTTTACCGATTCGTGCCTTCACATCTGCATCAGACCCACCATGTTCATCAATCATGCCGCCCAAATATGTCAAAGTTTTTACATCTTCCAAAGCTTCTCCGTCAATTGTGATTGGATTGGTGCATGTTGCGTTGTATCTGAGAATCCTGCTTTTCCCTTTGTGTATATTGAGACCTACTGCTGCTGAGGCTGCTGCTACACTTTTCGTCTTCTCCTGCATTTGTTGTTGCGTTTGGGATAGAAGGGCCAGATCATCTGCGAAGTCTAGACCGTTCAACTGCATCCTAGATGTACATTGTATCCCGTGCTTCCCTTCATGATCCAGTCGATCACCACAAGAAAAAGAAAGGGTGAGAGTAAACAACTTTGTCTGACACCAGTCTTTACTTCGTACGAGTCTGTGACCTGTACTCCATGCACGATTTCGCTTTATATCCTTACCACCGTAACCTAAATCAGAGAATACTGAAGTTTTCACTATTATTTCATGACTATTTTAAATAGATGGTACTTTCATCAATGAACTATTTGTTTAAACACGATAATAACTAGACAGATATACTCTTATTAGGTACCTTATTTCTTTTCAATAGTTGATTGCACATAAATGAACTTAATATTTACAAAACTGACAAATTTAAAAATTATTATGTAACTTACATATGATTTAAGTCTATTGAATTTGACCTCAATTGATATTGTGAATGCGTAACTATGATACATTTTCAATAAAGCTTTTACAACTTTCATATTCTTCCCTATTTCAAATAGATTATTTCAATTAATTCTAATTCAAATATAATAAATTTTATAAATCTGTAATTATTTTTCAACTTATAGTGGATATACTTAAACCAACATTAACAGAGAAAAAAGTACAATTTAATTTATATATACCATGGTCCATTACTCCGAAAGGTTATGCAAAGGTAAGTTAAATTGAAAAAAAATTAATTGATCAGATAATTAAAATAATCCATAGTGTCATTGAATATGAAAAAGAGAAGTCACCGAAGAGAATTTTCTTTTCGACGAAATCATTTACTTAAGCTGTACATTCGTATATATATATATATATATATATATATATATATATATATATATGGTCATATGGAAAATATATGTCTATAGGACGATAGAAAAGATTGCATCATAAAATGGATTCAAGATTAAATAATAATTGATCGGATCAAGAATTTGATATTTTTATTTAAATTCATAAAGTTCATTGACGTGAACAAATAATTCAAGTTAAATAAATAAATTATCTTACACCATTCATAATTAAGAAAATAATAAATAAATGTATTTAGAAATTTCAATAGTTAAAATCATGAGTCAATTGAGGCTAGACCACCATGGAAAACCTCGAAGAACTGGATGACCGTTTTGTCCTAGTATGGGATTCCTCAGTGGTGCGCATCCACGATCCCGCCCCCCGCGAGATTCGAACCCAGGACTTATTAGTCTGGTATGAATATTAACACCATTGGATGCCAGCCGGCTCAGCGGTCTAATGATTAGGCGCTCTCGCGCAAGACGGATCACAGAAACCATCCAAATTCTTTAAGATCTCTTTATTTTCAACTCTTCAGAAACTTTAGTCAATCCATAGATGATATCTAAACCAAATATAATTAAAATTTGTTCAGTCATTCTCTTTGATTTCACCTTGACGTACTACTGTTATTTTTATTTCCAAATAATTTGTATGTTAGGATGTGCAGAAAAATATACCAATACCTATCATGTTAAGTCTAATGTTGTCTTTGGTCGCTAAATGTACATTCCCTATTGGTCGATATTTACTTCACTTGTTTAATATTGTGTAAATGTTGTTTTCTATTTTTATGGTACGATGTGGTATGTTTGGTTAGTATATAAATAGAGTATGTCTGAAATACAATGATTCATATCTCAGGGGCTGTAACTTTCGTTCTGGACTCAACTGGCTGGGATAGACAGGGAAGCAGAGCCAATCGGGATACTAGATCGTTCATTACGTGTTTACATGTCACTGCGGTCGATCGATATAAACGCTGCTTATCAAAACCTGCAGTCACCCACCCGTTACAACAATCTGAAGTCAGCACTCATCTATGAATTAATGTCACATAGCCTTGGTATTATTCACACCAAATCATTTCCTGTATAGTCTCAGTAAACATTCCTAACACATTTCTAAAATGAGATTAAAGAAACAGTTAGTTTACTTGATACACATCATAGCCGAGTGTATGTTATTTAGCATTATATTCGTTTATTTGTCCACATCCTAAATATATTAAGCAGATTTTATTATTATCCTTTATATTACATAACATAATTATTAACTTTATGATTACGTTGGGACGTTTGTTCATCGTCCGCATTTCTCACAATTTCCTAGTTTGTGAGATTACTATAGTTGACATATAATTCCCTCTTAAACATTAAAAATGCGAATTTCAGAGAAAGGATATTTTTCAAACAATTTATTACCGTGTAATACAATCGTATATATCCACGAAATTGCGTCACTATCTACCATTGTCTTCAGTGAGTCACTGCCTCACAACAAACACGTTTGAACTCCATTGGTCATGGTTTCTCGCTAGAACTCCAGGAAATGCATCTTAGAGTCAGTTACTAATGAAAAAGGTTTTTGCGGAGAAAATTTTGTTAAAGTATTAATTCCCTAAGGACATATGAACATGGAATAAACATGATGACATAATGGAAAGTTTATCATACTAGATTACATAATATGAATTATAGCAATAAAAGATAATTTGTGTGCAAATAGAAAGCGTTGTAAAATTAATAAATTACCAATGGATTATAATGTGAATAAAGTAAGATGATTAAAATGTAATTGTTACAATAATAAAGGGGTTAAATGAAATGATGTGATATCAAAAACAATTACATATAAAATTGTGAAGATAAGAGACAGTTAAATAGAGATAAAATTTCAAATACGAAATAATAATAATTAAACGCCAAATTAATGACAAGCATAGGACGTGCATCATTTTTACGCACATTTCAGGCTTCAGCTTATTGCTGTTTTAAGGTGTTGGGTACGAATAAATCCACCTATGGATTAGTGGAGTGATTACAGTCAATTAGATGTTCAAGAATGGAACTTCTAACCGCATTCCTCTCACCCTTATAATACCACACTTCGACATGTTCTATAAATTACTATACATTGGTTAGATGAAATCTGCTATATTCTAACAATTAATTATTATTAGCTTATTAACTTCTTAATTTTGTCCTTTTCATTTTACAATTTTTACTTCATATATTTTGTTGGCTTCCTACGTGTTGTACTGTTAAAGGGTATACTAACCTGTATCAATGATTTACTTTTCTACAAACGGCAATGTTATTACGGTTGTTTAGCAATATCTCTATCTCTCTAAGGTTAACGAGTGCCACATAATCCATTATGTTGATAAAAAAACATTTTAATGGTTGAGTTCATCAGTCGATCTAAGCTGGACCATCACTGGAAATTTGGGAGCACTGGATTCCCGTCACGTCCTAGTGTGAGACTCCGCAGCATGCGGGACTCAAAAACAAGACCTTCAGTCTCACGTGCGAACGCTTAACCTCTAGACCAACGGGCCGGCATCCAATGGTGTTAATGTCTAACTTCAATCGATCTATGATCTTGTGCAACCATTCATTTATTTTAGTTAGGAAGATTAAAAAAATTTTTGGGTGACATAAGTAATAAAGGATTCCATCCGAAACATGTAATGTATGTTAATTACATTCATGCCGAAAAATATGATGACACCTTTTTATGTAAGAAATAGGCAAGGTCATATTACATCAACTGGAATATTTAAGTGGTACGCATAATAAGAAAACAAAACCATAATCATAATTTAAAACTGAATAATTGAATGGTTACTAATATCATGTTCGTTTAATCCTTTACCGATGACCAAATTTTATTGATCGAATCACAATCTAGATATTCACCTGAGTTACTCAACAACGTATGCACTATGCTAAAATGTTAAATGACTGGAAGTAGTGGACAAAATGTCCCTGAAATTAGAACAATGTCGACTATATATGATAATTAACTGAAGATTGCTATTATTAGTATTGGTTTTATGTGAGTGTAAATTGATTTCTTATGATTAGAACAATAATAAATCCAAGTAAGCATTTATTCAACCCTTCATACACTACAAAGACCACTATAAGGTTTACCTTGCAGCCACTCTCAACTGCGTTTTGCTATAGATTGGGTGAATGTTAATAAGATGCTTCCACTTAATCACTGGAATTCAGTTGTGTTTACAACTAATTAGGTATAGCCTTAGCCAAGGTAAATTATATATTGTTATGTATATGTTCACACATAATAAGATGTGAAGTAATGTTCCATATTTTGTTTTGGTTTATGAGGTGATCGTGAATTCATAACAGATACTCAATACAAGAACGATTATTTCCTCTTTAAATCTCAGTGTGTTTTGGACACTATTCTAGGTGTTGCAAACGTGACAATCGTTTTTATTAGTTAATTTGAGAAGATTATTACTCAACTCCTATTCTGTATAATCTATGTATATAAGTTTGATTCACTTAAACAGAACATTTTGAACTAGGCTGTACAGAAGCCACGTAAACTGAGATGATAACTTGATAATACAATTTTTCTTAGATAGTATATTTAACTATTTCATCATCACCTCAGTCAACCAACCTCACAAACTAATTTAAATTTATAGATCACTTCTTTCGCTGGTCTTAATTAACATAAAATCCACCATAACCTAATAAATCACTTATAACAAATATCATGTTGTCTTGTCCCTAGAATGGTCAAGTTTAATCAATCAAACTAGAACATGGCCACTAGGCTGTGACTAGATGTCATTGCACAAGTTATTCGGTAGTTTGTTTAAGACTATCGGCAGAAGGCCCTCGCCATAGGTTCTGGGTTATTTGATACTACTCAGTGAAGTGTATGAAATTTCTTAGCAAAAATAACATTCTTTCTTGGATTCTAGCCATCCTCATAAAATGTTATAAATCAGAGCTATCACTGAGCTATACAGACAGCAACAATATATATACAACATTGATTTACTTTAACAAAAAATGTATGTTTACACTATCCTGACTTCTAACATAAAATATTTGTAAATCTATAACTTAAAAGCAGGGAGAGAAAGTTATCAAACATGATTGTTGATCCAAATTAGTAATTACCTTCGAATATTTAATCAGGATCCTTAAATCACCAAGAGATTATTATGACTGTACATTAAAATCAAGACGGTCCTCTCAGGAAGCACATATCCCAATTGAAACTAATCAACTGCAGTTTTGAATAATTAGAACGTAAAATCATCAACTTTTACTAATATTACACAAGCAAATTATTTACTCCTAACGCTTTTCTGACTTAATTGCTGTTTATCTAAATCATAACTTTAAATGATATTACCATTTAATTTTTTAATGATTTAGCTACATGAGAAATTAACATCACCATGCATCCCTCATTCCGATGGAAAAGCTGATTCCATGGCTCGTCGTGTGTACAGACAGATATTTCACGATTGTACAAACAGTTCGAATGGTTTTACTCCTTCTTCGAAAAGTGAAACAACTTACGCAAGTGTAAGTTATTTATAATTAATTTATTTCGTTTAAAAATGATTGTTTACCTAGCTGAAATTATTTACAGAAAAACATATATTCACTTTGGAGGCATAAACTTAGACGTTATTGTTGTTCTAATATCAACATACATCAATTTCATACACTTTCGACGGCATATCAAGCAACGTTTATGCCAGGCCATTTCATGTTGTACATACGTGTCTGTAGTCCATTATTTCAAGTCGGCCTTATGATTTCTGAACAACTATTATTGTTACATTAGTTATAATGCCACACTGCACTACAATTATGAAGTCCGATCCAATCACATACATTACATACGCATAAATATATATCAATCATCAACATACGGAATAAAAATGAATCCTAGATCTACCTTAACTCACTTGATATGCCTAGACAGCATGGTACATCAGGTCACAAACATGAATAATCCATATCACGTTGGTATCAGTAGGCTGTTTGAAAACTATGAGTGAAACAATTAGGTATGTAAACTATTTCACATATTTAAGATGTTTTTATTGTAACGGGTAAATCGAAAGAAACCTGGGTTAACATATCTTGACCTACTCACCCACTATACTTCAATGTTTAGTAGAAACAGATTATAACATACACTAGTCTATTTTAAGTTAATAAACGGGTATTAGATATGATCTTCCAGATTGTAACATTTACAACGTTTAAGTTTAACTATCTAAAAATTCGTAAGCATCACGATGACTACATCATTTGGAAACATTCTTTTTTATTCTATATACAGCCTACTGAGATGAGAAACCTAAAAATTAGTCAGTATGAAATTATTTCAGCCAAAATGGTAGAAGCAAAACGACTTTATGAAGATGTTGATTTTCCCGCAAACAATAATTCAATTGGAGACTTGCAACAAGTCTTGGGCAAACTAGAATGGAAAAGACCTAAAGTATGTTCCTGTTTAGTCATTTCTAATTATATATATATATAACTAAATAAACTACAAATTGGATTATACCTATGTGAAAATCAATTTATATCAATCTCACCTAAGTGATCTATCTTCACTGAACTACTAACTGATGATAGTTGTAATTTCTTGGTAGGTTCGCAGTCTATCAAACATTCAATAATCATTCTACACATTCAGTTGTTTCTCATAACCCTAAATCATCCTCTGTTTTCTATAGGGAGCTTCATGAGATTTGATTTTATCCCGAGTGTTAAGACGTTATAGGTAGACAACAAATCATAAAATGACAAGGCAGCGGAAGATATCAACTTTTTAAGACATCTAGGAATATTTTAAACAATAGAAATGGAGATGAACAAGCATTTTGTCATAAATTTTTATGTGTTCTAAGGGAGACGAGATAAATGTACCCTAAGTTTTATGAAGTTTTCACTACATTATTTCCTTCATTTATCGGACAAACTACATGTTTTTTTATTGATTACTGTAAGGAAAATATATTTTAGTTCTAAAGAACAAAAAGCGATTAGGTTGTTTCCCATTCTTTACAATCATTAAAAGCCAAAAAGCTCCTATCCATTGAAAGAAATATTTAGACGAATGTGCACATATTTCAATCACTTTATTTATGGATTATTGAACGAACTCTGTATGATATGAAGGACAACTCATCAAGATACCAAAGAAAGGAGATCTGAGCAAATGTGAGAACTACAGAGGCATCACATTACTGGCAGTATCAGAAAATGTTTTCAACAATGTTGCTGAACCACATGAAAGATTCAGTAGATACCCAACTTCTAGATCAACAGGCTGGATTCTGTAAGGATCAGTCGTGCACAGACCGAATCGCCACACTACGGATGATCGTCGAACAATCACTTGAGTGAAATTCGTCACTATACATCAACTTCATTGATTATGAAAAGGCGTTTGACAGTGTAGATAACAGAATGCTATGAAACCTTCTTCGACACTAAAGAGTTCCTGAGAAGACTTTCAACACTAACCGGACCTCATACGACGGACTACAATGCAAAGTCGTGCATGAAGGACAAATGACAGATGTATTCCAAGTGACAGGAATGTCTACTCTTCGCCTTCCTCTTTCTATTGGTGGTTGACTGGAGGATTATGAAGACATTCACATCTGAGGGTAAGCATGGAATAAAATGAACAGCTTAGATGCAACTAGATGATTTGGACATCGCAGATGACTTAACCCATTTATCCCATAAACACGAACAAATGAAGATGAAGACAACTAGTATAACTGAAGCCTCTGAATTAGTAGGTCTCAACACACACAAAGGAAAAAGCACGATCCTCAAATACAACACTGAGAGCACCAACCCAATCTCACTTGATGGAGAAGTTCTGAAAGATGTGAAGACGTTCACGTACCTGGACAGCATCGTCGATGACCGTGGAGGATCAGATGCAGACGTAAATGAGTGGATTGGCAAATTAAGGACAGCATTCCTACGGTTGAAGAACATATGGAACTCAAGACAACTTTCAATCAGTATCACAGTGAGAATCTTCAATATGAACGTGAAAACACTTATTCTGTGCTGAGCTGAAACATCGAGAACTACCTCAACCGTCATCGAAAATGTGCAAGTATTTATAAACAATTGTCTACACAAGATACTGAATGATCGTTAGTCAGATATTATCAGCAACAACCTACTATAGGAGAGGACAAACTAGGTTCCATATGCAGAGGAAGTTAGGAAAAGACTTTGGAATCTGATAGGACATATTTTGTCAAAATCATCAAATTGCATCACGAAATAAGCTCCAACTTGCAATCATAAAAGAAAATGAAAAAGAGAGGTAGCAGGCGTAAGTAAATCTGTATGATATGGAATTCACAATAAAATTTGTTAATACGCTTCTAATCAATTAAGTCAAAATTATAAATATAAACTTCTTATATCTGATACCCAATAATAGTCATTAAATTTACTTTATCAGGTTAACGATATCTATGATTGTTTGCTTCAAATGATTTAATTAATTTTTAATAAGATACGTAAATCACTAGCGTTATAGCTTAATAAAACATCTCGGGAAGAAGCTGTAACTAATTCTACAGAGACATTGGATGTGGACTGGTTTGTTGAATTATTTAGATAGTTTGGATTGAACCTGTGATGTAAACTTATCGTCATCAACTAACAACATAAATGTTAAGTTATTTTTGCAGTCATTCACTTTATACAAATGAGATGACAAATTTCATTTTAAACATTTAGGGTGTTTGTGCAATATATTAACAAAAATGCTGAGGATAAACCCTTTCATTACATTATTGTATATAAGAACAAACAAAGGTTCATTTAATGGGTAAATTGTGACAACTGCAAATGTGAGAAACAGAAAAAAAGAAAGTATAGGCCAATATTATAGGAATAACTAGTTACCACATCGCTCTTTGGATAATATTTATATCATCGAGTATCAAAACAAATGTATAATGTGAACAAATCCTTGATTGGTAACACATCACAATCAACAGACATATAAATCAAATTCAAACATTAAGAACACGAATTTTAGCTAAAGGATTTCTTTCCAGCGACTTCATTATCAAGCTATACAATCATATATATAATAGCAATAAAAAATGATGCGTGAAAATAAAAAGCCATAGCAAAATTATTTAGTTAACAATGGATTATAATCAGAATCGATACTTCCTGACCACTAAATCTCCTAAAAACCTCAGAAGGAAGTCTTGACAGTATATGATGTAAAGATTAAAAGACATTTCTATGTTTAGTCTTATCAACACCATATTGAATTAATTGATTGGTTCATGATCTCAATTAAAACTCAATAATCGTCAAAGCACTATACAAATAATTATTATGTGCTCACTAGTGACTAACTTCAAGAGATAATTTTCAGAGTCCTAGTGATAAGCGTTTGACCAGTGTCGAATGAGAGGTATTTATTCACAGATGACAAAGGAGGATGGTTGCGTGACATCGTAGATTGGCTGAACACCGTCGGATCCCGGCTCACTAATGTAGAGGTCAAGCACTGGTGCGCGAGTCTGAGTTTAAATCTTACGTACGGGATCATTGATGCACAATGATAAGGGGTCTCATACTAGGACGAAACAGCTAACTGATGCTTTCAGTTTTTCAATGTTGTTCTAACATTGATCGGTTAATGATCTTAATTAGAATTCAACAATCTCTACAACCATATACCATCGATTGATTACTCCGGTCACCCTTCGTGGAAGAGCATAGGCCAACTCCTATTCAATTCATTACAGTAATTTTCAAGTGCTATTCATTCTCTTTATGTCTGTCTCCAAATCCCAGTTTAAGTTGTTCTTTGATCTGCTTCTTTTCTCTTTGTCTTTAGGATTTCAAATTAAGATTTGCCTCGTTACTCAGTCTGATGATTTTCACAATGTGTGTCCTGTCGACCTTCGGTGTTTTTCCTAATCTCAGCTTCGTCTAGGATTTAGTTTGTTCTCTCTCACAGTGGGTCACTGATGATGGTACCGGGTCAACGGATATCGGGCATCTTGCGTAGACATTTGTTTACAAATACTTGGACTTTTTGATTATGGCTGCAGTAGTTCTCCAAGTTTCAGTTCCATACAACGGAACTATCCCAACTTTTGCATTGAAGATTCTGGCTATGATGTTGGCTGACAGTTGTTTTGAGTTCCATATGTTGTGGCCTATCGTTGTAAAAACTTCTGCCACACTGGCTGTCTTCACCTACATTTGTTTCGGTATATGGAATAGAAGAGCTAGGTCACGTGCGAAGATCGAATCGCCTAGTTGCATCCAAGGAACCTATGTTATTCCATACTTTCCCTGAGATGTGGACGTTTTCATAATTCAGTCGACCACCAGAAGAGAGAGGAAGGGTGAGAGTAAACAGTCTTATCTGACACAGTTCTTCACTTGGGATGCTATCCTTCAAGCACAACGTGCAATCCTTCATATTATATCCACATGATGGCGGCAATATTATCGAGTGTAAAGTGGTGTCGAAAAGGGTTTCATATTATTTTGCTATTAAGACTGTAAAACACCATCCCATATTCAAGGAAGTTGATGTATAGTGACGGGTTCCACTCAACTGATTGCGCAATGAGGATCCACAGTGTCGCCGTTAAGTCTGTGCACGGACTATCACCACGGAACCCAGCCTGTTGATATGGAAATTGAGCGTCCACTGAGTCCTCCATCCTGTTCAACAACACTCTGTTGAAAACGTTTCTTGGTACTGACAATAGTGTGATTCCTCTGTGGATCTCATATTTGTTCAGATCTCCCTTCTTTGGTATCTTGATGAGGTATCCTTCCTTCAAATCTTTCGGCACTTATTTCTCCTACCAAATCTTCCTGAATAGAACGTGGAACATGGTCGTAGCTACTTTAATATCTAACTTCATTGCTTCAGCTGATATGTCGTCTGGTCCTGCTGCTCTCCCATAATTGATTTGTTTGATGACCGTCCTGATTTTTTTGATCGTTGGCAGGGTGAGATCTATAGGTAGGTCTGTGTGTACTGCTTTGCTGTCCAGTAGGTTTAGTGGGGCTGATCCATACGGGAATTCCTCAAAGTGTTCTACCCACATGTTCATTTGTCCTTGAATGTCAGTGATTAGCTTGTCTTCTTAGTCCTTGTTCGGTCTCTCTGGTTCACTAGATTTCCACACCAGTTTCTTCAATGTGTCATAGAGGTGTTTTATACTTCCTTCTCTTACAGTTTTAACCGCTGTCCTCCATATATTACTGCTCGCCAGCTCAAATGCTGCTATTCACTTACTTGTTTGCTCCAGTGTATTCAGATTGTGCCTTGAATCTCCCCGCTCTTGTTCGACTGCTGTTAATTGCTGTCTTCATGTTCCTCCTTTCTTGAATCCTATCCTGGTTTTCGATAGAGATCCATTCCTTGTGATGATGCTTCTTGCGACCCAGTCTCCTGACACTATGAAGTTGGTGCTGCAGTGACCCCTTCCCAGTTGTTCTCCATTGTGGTTTCTTCTTATTTCAGAAGATCCTGTAAATCTTGGAACCTGTTGTTGAGATTTATCTTCAAATTCGTTGAGTTTGTCAGTATGTTGAAAGAAGTGTGTATTGAACTTTTGTAATGTTGTTTCTCCTGCTTTCCAGTGCTTATTGAGCTTCAGTTTCATCTTGACAAATACCAGGTGGTGATTCTGAACTATGTCAGCCCCTCTCCTGGTTCACATGTCTTGCATTGATATTTTGAATCTTTTATCAATTGAATTATGTTCGATCTTGTTCTGTGTAGTGTGATGCGATGAGACACATGTAGGTTTGTGTATGCGTTTGTGTCACCTATAATCAAGTTGTTGGAGGCACATAAATCTGCAAATCTGTAACCAGTTTCGTCTATTTTCCCCAGTCAGTCCATGTTCTCCCATGATATCTTGACACCCGGCGTTGTTCATTTCGACTTTGGAGTTCAAGTCTCATATCAGAATGGTCAGATCGTTTCCTGGACACTTCACTACGATCGACTAAAAACTCTCTTCACTTCTATCATTTATGGGTGCATAAAACTAGATAACACTCATTTTATAATTGTAAACTTTATTTCGTTTGTTACATCGTATGTCTTGTTGTTTTACATTTTAGGATATTAATCCTTATGCAGCTTTTTGTACAAAATCTTATTCTCGTTTTGATGTTGATCAAGGTGCTCTTGGTAAGATCATGCTTCCTGTTTACCTTTTTTTACCTTGGAAATGTCAGTAAGTAATTGAATTAACGAATGCAGTGACCATCAACTCAAGTGACATTCTGCCTTTTAAATAAAAACATCAATTTCTTACACGCTTCAGACATTGCTTGTTAATTAGCTTTTACCAAATGAAACCTTTAAGAAAGTGTGAACGAATACTTGAAAAAATTATACTGAAACACGGAACAAACCAAATAAGCTTAGACAAATACGTATTTGATAACTTAGAAACGCATGTCATAATTCGTTTGATATACTTTGTTCCACTTATGGCTATCTGAATATCAAACAGGTCATGATGTTGTATTTAACCAACCCAACTTCGAAGTAGCACCCACGGACCTTCCAATCGACGTTAGTCCACCAACAACTGAAGAAATCAGCATGGTCACCAGACAAATCAAGAGTGGCAAAGCAGCAGGATCAGACAACATTCCAACAGAGGCAATAGAAATAGACGTAGCAGTAACTGCAAGGATACTACACACTCTCCTTAATAAGATTCGGAATGAGGAACAAGTACAAAGAGACTGGAAAGAAGGAATTCTGACCAAAATATCAAAGAAAGGCGATCTCAGCAAGTGTGATAACTACAGGGGCATCACTCTTCTCTCAATACCGATAAACGTCTTTAACAGGGTGTTGTTAAACCGAACGATGGACTCCGTAGACACCCAACGTCGATATCAACAGGCTGGATTCTGTAAGGATCGATCGTGTACAGACCAAATCGCAACACTACGGATCACTGTGGAAAAATCGATCGAATGAAATTCACTGCTCTATATCAACTTCACTGAATTTGAGAAAGCGTTTGATGACATGGACAGGACAACACTAAGGAATTCCTATGATGTATTCAACTGCGAAATCGTGGGTGGTGGATATATGACAGACTCGTTCGAAGTAAAGACTGGTGTTAGGCTAGGTTGCTTACTCTCACCCTTTCTCTTTCTCCTGGCTATCAACTGGATCATGAAGACGTCAACATCTGAAGGGAAGCACGGGATACAGTGGACATCTAGGATACAGTTGTACGATAAAGACTTCGCAGATGATCTGGCTCTTCTATCGCAAACCCAACAACAAATGCAGGAGAAAACGACCAGTGTAGCAGCAACATCAGCAGCAATAGGTCTCAATATACACAGAGGGAAGAGCAAGGTTCTCCGATACAACACAGCATGCACCAATCCAATCACAATTGACGGAGAAGCTTTGGAAGATGTAAAAACCTTTACATATTTGGGCAGCATCATTGATGAACAGGGTGGATTTGATGCAGATGTGAAGGCGCGGATCGGCAAAGCAAGAGCAGCATATTTACAACTGAGGAACATCTGGAAGTCAAAACAACTGTACACAACCCAACACCAAGGTCAGAATTTTCAATACAAATGTCAAGACAGTTCTACTGTATGCGGCCGAAACTTGGAGAACTACGAAAGCCATCATCCAGAAGATACAGGTGTTTATTAACAGTTGTCTACGCAAAATAATTCAGATCCGTTGGCCGGACACTATTAGCAACAACGTACTGTGGGGGAGAACAAACCAGATCCCAGCGGAGGAAGAAATTAGGAAGAAGCGGTGGAAGTGGATAGGACACACATTGAGGAAAGCACCGAACTGCATCACAATGCAAGCTTTCACAAAGAAAAGAGGAAGACCAAAGAACACATTACGCCGAGAAACGGAAACAGACATGAGAAAAATGAACAAGAATTGGGCAGAACTGGAAAGGAAGGCACAGGACAGACTGGGTTGGAGAATGCTGGTCGGTGGCATACGCTCCATTGGAAGTAAAGGCGTAAGTAAGTAAGTAAGCATGTTGCTGTATTTATCCAAGATAACAACGTCGAATTATTTGTGAAAAATATCGAACTGTATGAATTTTTATTATGTAAGTGTTGAGTAGAGCCTAACGTGATCAATTTCTTTTGATTAACTGTAAGGTGACTGTTGGTTCAGTGCGGTTATGGCTACAATTACGAAATATCCTGCATTGATGAATAACATCATACCGTCAAATCAAACTTTCAGAGGTTCACTTTATACAGGAGCATTTGTGTTCAATTTTTGGCGTTTTGGAGAGTGGGTAGAAGTTGTAGTTGATGATCGCCTACCAGTTCTCAAGGGAACATGTAACTTAGTATTTATGCATTCAACAGATAATAATGAGTTTTGGTCATGCCTACTGGAAAAAGCGTATGCCAAGTAAGTTCAAAAAAGATACTAACCTAATATTTGCATTTGAACTACTTATTAGTAGCATGAAATTATAAACAAATAATTCAAAATTGACCCGAAATAGTCTCCATTACTGTTTACTTTATTCATCTTCCTATCAACTATTTCTATTAGCCTCGTTATAGTATCAAAGTAGCGGATTATCCTACACAATCCTAAAATATTTACAATATCGTTTTCATATTGAAACCAAGTGTGATGTTTTTCAACTTCAAAATGATCACAAGTTATAGGCCAAATGCAGGTTTGTCTAATAAATCAGTTATGCATTTTGTAATTGTCCACTTTGTGATGAACAACATAAAATGGATAGCATTAATTATCTTTATTCTATTTGTAATTTATGAATTACCTTCATTCTCAAATCCCAGTTTGTTATATATGGTGAAGGGATTTATTAGCGAAATTTAGATATTCTCTGTAAATGATGATCTGAAATATATTTAATAGCAAATTTGGTGTTCAGAATAATTAACAGATAAAGCATTTAACAAATAAATCTTGTTAGAAGGATTTTATGAAGATTTTAGCAATTTCGGTAGTTGAAATCATGAGTCAAATGTGGCTAGACCATCAGGGGAAAACTGGAAGAACTGGACGGCCGTTTCGTCACAGTATGGGACTCCTCAACAGTGCACATCTACAGTCCCGCCCTCCGCGAGACTCGAACCCAGGACACATCAGTCTTGCGAGCGAGCTCTTAACCACTAGATCACTGAGCCGGACGGCATGTATAAATAAAATATTCCTTCTAAAGTTTTAAAGCAATAGTATTATTCTAACAGTTGAATTCATGAGTCGATTTATAACTGGACCACCATTGAAAACCAGATGGTCTGGCTTAAATTGACTTATGAATTCAACTGTTAAAATTACTGCAGTCTCAACAAATCCCGATTCTGATAGTATTATTGCAAATTGTGATGAACATTACCATACATCAACACAAACACTTCACTTCTATTTCAAGTTTGTGTTAATGATGTCGTTCAGAAGAACGATGAAAGATCCATAACCAAATCATCCAGCTCAAAGAATAATATTCCAACATAAATTGAGATTGTGGTGATAAGTGTACCAGTTATGATAACATTAATAAAAGCGTTTAATGTTTCATGATAGGAAGTTATTTTAAAAAGTGTGGAAAAGATAGACACTGAAATTACATAATGTGAAGTGTTCAAGTAATCAGACAATAAACAATGGTAATAATTTGTGTATCTTTGATTATACCTTATGAGGTTCAATGTCATCTACATATAACAGAAGTGATAACGATTCGCGCTACAAATTATAAGAAATTTGCAGTACCCTAATCTCTCCTTTAGAAAAATTAAACTGAACAAACAATTTTATACAGTATTATTTTCCACATAATTTGTTTTTTTTTTCAAGTTCCTTCTACCACTTCTTTCAAATTGTGAAACATTCAACCTTTCTCTTCTTATCACAACTAGTATATCACCTTATATATCCTACTTAGTGTGTTTACTTGTGTAATATAACTAGACCTTTACCAAACTATATGATACAAATCAGCTGAACAAATTTCTAACAACCTGATCTGTTTGAATGATTAAAAGTTTAAAACAAAAAGTCAATCTAGACAAATCGGTAGTTAAGATTAAAGCGGAAAACAGGAAACAATATTGAATCATATTACTATGAATTTTATAATTAGATTTCCTTTTGTGAATTGAAAACAAAGATCACTATGCTTTAATGCGATGTGCTTTAAGTTCTCTACATTTGCGCTAATTTTATGGGTTAAACGTTTTACAATAGTGGTAATATGAAAAGCATATATTAAGTAATTCAGTTTATTGATGAAGAATAATTTAAATTGATTTCCAATCATACAAGTTCATTTTATTGATGAAATGAATAACTGCGATAGATTATAACAGTTTTACATATTTTCGCAATTGAAATCACTAGCCGATCCAAGCCAGACCAATATGAGACACCTGGAAGCACAGGATGGTCGTTTCGTCCAAGTATGAGACTCCTCAGCAGTGCCCATTCACAATCAAGTCAAGGATATATATATATATCCAGATGGGTAGAAAATTGTATTTTTGACGTTTCGTGACCTAATATAAGCCACTTCGTCATAATAAATAATTATATTTATATACATATACGCTTAAAATTAACTTTCTTAATTTGACGAACCGTCCTCTGTGACTCCGTGACCTTCCTGATAATTTATTATGATTGAACTTTCCACCAACCTCACTGAGTAAAAACTTGATGAGGTTGTAAATCTTCATCGACTCTGGTGATTGAGATATGTATTAGGTATGCCAAACAACCGCCCCCGTCGACACACGATATCACATGTTGTTAGAGTAGGCTAAAGGTGACCAAACCAAAATCTGTCTCCAACTCCTAAAGTCATTAACAGTTGATCTGATTCATGTTACTAGATTTATACTACACGGTTAGGGTTGTCGAAACAACCGCAATTAGTGGTTGGAGACGCTGGGAGAAATTTCAAAATCAGTCACAATTGTGTAAATTTACTTATTCCTTATCATACTCTAGAACATAATTTTCAGTATTGCTTCACAAATACCCCTTTATTACACTTTCTTAGTATATATACTCTCAAACCTCAGTCTTTTTTACCATTACTACTTTATTTCGACTGTTTAGTTATTTATCTTATTAATTTCATTCTGTCATTATTATTTGGTTTGTCATCTTGGGTTGACGTACTGATTTTTCGGGCTCTAATTTGACGATAATTGGCTGACTGCCTAATATTCTCATTAATGTGGGTTTATATTCAAGTCTATAGTTTACCTCAATAATTCTTTTCTCATACCACTTTTTCTCTAAAAATCTAGTTAATGTATTTATCAGTTTTTCAAGTTTTTTATAAAGTCGTAGAATTTTAAAAGTTACCCTACAAAAGAAGGTGAATAATTAAAAGATATTGATTTATGACTTTCCATTTGCTTTTTATGTCAATAGAAACTACCACTACAATATTGTGTTTAATGTGACTACTTACCATTCACATGAAATTTTTTATTGTTTGTTATTTATCCTTAAAAGTTTCTAAGGTTTAGAACGTTTTTTTCTCCCGTTCCTATACAGATTATGCGGTAGTTATGCACATCTAACTGGTGGATTTCAAAGTGAAGCGATGGAGGATTTTACTGGCGGAATTTGTACTACTATTATTTTGAATCAAAAAGAACGTCCACTAAATCTATTTAAAATGATGGAACACTACACAAAAACATGTTGTATTTTGGGTGCTGATGTTGGTGTTAGTTATTCTTTTGGGTAACTTAAGTCTGTAGCTATCTTTTGACAACGGTTAGGTGAATTTCTATACAAGTGTTTGCAAATTAGGTACCTGACACAACTCAGGTATATCTGTTAAATTATTCTTCACGGGAGATTTGATAAAATCAATACCAAACCACAGTAATTTACTATATTTCAATAACTTATGCTCTGTTCGAGAATCCCACTAGTATATGGATCGATATGAGAAACGAAACTTGAGATACAAACGACTCAATCTTGCCTTTGAGTTTTCTGAAAATCCAATCTCAGATGATTGGTTCTAGATATACGAAAAACAAGGACGGGTTATTCATCATTCAGTTAACGGCGAGTCAGATCGGAAAGATCTTCGGCGCTGAACCCGTTCTAATATATCCTCGCCATTTTTCAAACATGAACCTATTACCTGAACTTCATATACCAAATTACAACTCACATGAATCGAGTAAAATATTCAAAAAATATCTTAATCCAAGAGCCGAAAAGCTCCACGAATTACCCACACGATCTGGAAGCCTGTGGTAACTGTACACTGTGGTTCTGAGATCATCACTTACTATGACTCCCAAATACTCAGAATCAATAAAACCAGGTGAAACGATTTCGGTTATTGTGTAGTTGTATAACTTGTGACAACTCCATTCGTGAAAAAACACCTTGCTGGAATTCGACTCTAACGATTGCCTATCCCCCCACATATTCAGAGCGCTTATATCCCTCTGTAATCTTGTATGACTGCCGAATGAGTATCTACACTTTAGTTTTGCTCATAAATGACATTTCCACTCTCGATAGGTCATTTTCATAAAGAAAAAAAATGAAACGACTTATAATTGTCCCCTGAAGAACTCTACTCTTTACAGTTACGCATGTAACTGAAAAAGTTAGAAATCCTATTCGTAACTCTACAGTTAACACCAAAACCGATCTTTATTATAAGGTCCATTTGAGTGGTTGATTGATTCCTACAAAAAGTACATTCACCGGAATATTTTTTATCTTTTGCTACAATCTCCTCTTGTATTTGATTTATTTTAGGGAGATAAAAATAAAAGACGCGAAAAAATGGGACTGATAGGTTCTCATGCTTATAGTGTAACTGGGGTTGGGAAAGTAAGTTCTCTTGTAGTTAATCATAATAATAATTGTGATTGGAATGAACTAGTCTTCATTTATTATGATTTATAATAATGTAAACTCTATCCGTAATCGACGGAAGCCTATACAAATTATTTTACGCGAACTGTATAACTAAAGCACAAAAATCTCTAATTAGCCTAACGTGTTAAAAGTAAATAAAGCCAAAAAATTAGGCAACTACTGATAATTAAACTGCTTAGTTAAGAGTTTAGTGGAACCCTTCATTTCGACATCAATTAGATCGATGTTGTTGATAAACTCATCGCATTTGTGGCCCAGGATCTGACTCGTTATATTGTATGAATGATTGTTATTGAAATACATATGTCGCCTATCGAGGAAGGATTTCGAATATGTATATTTTGTACAATCATTGATCCAAGCAGACAATCAAAAGAAAAAGGTGAAACGAAATGATGCGTGGTGGAGAAGGCATGTGAGCCAAATCAATTTAATCAAACGTCAATCAATATTTATATCCAGACAATAATAAGTTACAGACATGTGATGAATAGAATAAGAAGTGCACACACATATGTGCTCATGTAAAAATAGTCAAGGTTGATAAGTGAATAATCAACAACGTCAAAATTTGACTCAAAAAGAATGAATAGATTGGCCTGTTCAGAAGCTAGTATGAGGTATATTGGATTAACATAACAAGCGACACTACAGGAGGACTCAGCAATGCTAAAAGCAATCACATGAGTTAGATAAATTTTCAGTCATCAAGTCTGGTAGTACATAGTCTCGTAACTTTAAAGAATGAACAACAAGTTTATATATCTAGCTCTTGATTTCTCTTGGTTTTTTAGTGTCTCATTCTCTCTGAAGTAGAGAGTACGTTATTTAGAGTACGTCAAAAATAAAAAAATTAGGTCAAAATTAAGCCGTAATTTCTTTAAACAATCGATTTACAAGTATATACATTAATTATACTGATACTCATGAAATACTCAAGTATTGAGTTTCTTATTATTATTATTATCATCATTTCTTATTCTTTATTTATAATATATTAAAGGTTAATTATCTAGGTAAAGAAGTGCCCTTAGTACGTTGTCGTAATCCTTGGGGAGAAAAACATGAATGGAAAGGATCTTGGTCAGATAATTCACCTGAATGGAAAAATGTTAAATCTAAAGATAAGAAAGCTTTACAATATAAATCAAAAGAAGATGGAGAATTCTGGTAATATAAAATAAAATCCAATTCATCATATTTCTATTTTGTTTAATCTTTTATTAATTCATTATTTTGTAGTAATTTGTAATAGTCAGATATCATATTCATAGTAAATTCAATGAACTATATAGATCAAACGAATTTCATTAAAGATTTGAATATATAAGTTTCTTGATGTTAGATCATTACAAAATATACATTCAGTAATGATTCATTTTTTATAAGCTTGCCAAATCAATGTTAAAAGAAACAAAAAGCTACAAATTGATTTATTTGATGATGTTCATAAACTTCATTACTTTTATACTAAGTTACATTTGAAAACAACCTGAACACTTCTTTATTAACTATATAAACTTTATGATTCTTTGATCTTTCAATAATGTAATAAGAAGACAAAGATTATCAGAACTATGTGATATACTAGCGTAATACAATTCGAACAATCTGATCACACATATATCTGATAGGTACATTTATATATAAAAATAAAAAAGGTCAACTAGATTGGAAACGGGATAAGAGGAGACAAAGATAATAATGATAATGATAATAATAATAATAATAATAATAATAATAATAATAATAATAATAATCTTTAATTTCAACTTAGAAGTAAACTAGTATAATATCAAATACCATTTTACTGTTTAATGTAATTACAGATTTATATGTCAATTAAATTGTCCCATTTTCACATTTTAGTAAATAAAGAAGGAATAAGAAACTAATTGAAAAGAAATTTCTTTCCTTGATTCGTTCCTTCTTTCATTAAATTGTCAATTTAATTTAAGGTTTTCCAAATTTTTCGGTTATATTCTTTTGAATTTTATTGAATGTCTTAATTTTGAAATAACTTTTAAGTCTTTACAATTTGATAAAGGAGTTAACAATAGGAAATTACATACACATAGTTCCCTTTATCATTTTGAAAAGAGCAAGAACAAAGATTCTAGTAGAATAGCATGAATTCATTTTATTTCGTAGGTTCTTGTCAGCTACTTACAACCTGTGATATTTAAAAATCATAATTACATAATGGGTTTAAATTACTTACATGAGAGGGTTTGTTTGGAAGTTATATTGAAGATATATTCGTAAAGTATATCATGAGTGTAAATGAAATTAATAGACTGAATATTGTAATTATATACTTCAAAAGACTGGAGTTTGGCTGCTTACTGTATTTATAAATTTACGTGTACCTGCCAAAGCAGCTACATCGGCTGAACTGAAAGGAGAGCATATCTTAGATTTTTCGAACATGTTCCATAAATTCTTAGAACAAGGCAAAGAAAGACTCTGAATAGTGCAATCACCAAACATATCCTTGATACAGGACATCAGGTAGATACCTTACAATCCTTTAGGGTGATTAGTAAGCAGCCAAACTCCAGTCTTCTGAAATTTGCTGAAGCGGTTAACATCAGGCGTCAAAAACCTGACCTATGTGTTCAAATCGAGATGGTTGTTAATCTTTCCTTGCCTTGGTGACAAATATTCTTTCGCTGCACCTTAAAAATTTTTTTTTCCTTTTTTCCTTTGTATTTACTACATCTTGGATTTTAATTTTTTTTCAACTATCTTTAAAAATTAATAATCTTTCAACTGAACGCTACTCACTATATCCCTATCATTGTTTATTCATTATGTAATCAATTGTTTCTAACCCACTTTTGAACTGTTGTCACAATTAATGTTGTAGAATATTCTTTCATATAAGGTATATATTTACAATATTCAGTCTATTAATTTCATTTACACTCATGATATACTTTACGAATATATCTTCAATATAACTTCCAAACAAACCCTCTCATGTAAGCAATTTAAACCTATTATGTAATTATGATTTTTAAATATCACAGGCTGCAAGCAGCTGACGAGAACCTACGAAATAAAATGAATTCATGCTATTCTACTAGAATCTTTGTTCTTGCTCTTTTCAAAATAGGAAATTACTTGACTCATTCTTGATAATTGCATAAATGAGGATAGAATATTAATCCAACATAAGTCGAAACCAGATAATTGATTCACTCCATTGTAATTTAATGTATATGCAGCCATGAAGAAGAAGATTTAAGCAATCAAAAATGCTAGTGATCATTACAAATGATAGCTGTATTGTATACTGAAAGATTTGATGACTCTTCAGGTACTTGCAAAAAAGACTTTAATATTAAATTACACCAAGGCTACAACTTATTTGTTATAAATCTAAACTAATGATGTCTATAATTTGATTGTTTAAAGTGACCTATTACTTAATTGTTACACAAAACAATTATATAACAACCAGACTGTCATTTTTAAAACATTTAAATGAAAAAGAATTATTCGACTGAATCAATGTATTTTGGGACTGTTTGAGCTTCTTTTTATTGAAGAGTTATGTTTTCATTCTGTAAATTGATGATATGTGTATCACACATTACTACGTATTTCTAGTTATATAATAAATGGAACATATTGATTGAAATGTTCCGAAATAATTGATACGATAAAGGAAAATGAGCGTAACGATACCAATATACTAACGGAATGAGACCAAAAATATATATTTGGTGTGATATTGATAACGTTCACTAACCAACAAACATCAATTAGTTCGCAAATTATTACACAGGAGAGATGCATGATTTTTATTGAGTATATTTATTTCCTTTCTTGAGAAATATAGCTTTTAGAAGTGAAATTATATGCGACACTACGGATCATCGTTGAACAATCGGTTGAGTGGAACACGTCACTATACATCAACTTCATTGATTATGAAAAGGTGTTTTACAGTGTAGATAACAGAATGCTATGAAACCTTCTTCGACACTAAGGAGTTCCTGAGAAGACTGTCAACACTATAAAGAACTCGTACGACGGACTACAATGCAAAGTCCTGCATGAAGGACAACTGACAGATGCATTCCAAGTAAGGACCGGGGTCAGACAAGGCTGTCTACTCTTCCCCTTCCTCTTTCTTCTGGTGGTTGACTGGATTATGAAGGCATCGACATCTAAGGGAAAACACGGCATACAATGAACAGCTCAGAGCCAATTAGACGATTTGGACTTCGCAAATGACCTGGCCCTCCTATCGCATACATATGAACAAATACAGTTAAAGACAGCCAGTGTAGCAGCACTATCTGCATCAGCAGGCCTCAGCATACACAAGGGGAAAACTAAGACCCTCAAATATAACAGGGAGAACAGCAATCCGATCACTCTTGATGGCAAGACTCTGGAAGATGTAGAATCCTTCACATACCTGGGAAACATCATCAATGAACAAGGAGGTTCAGATGCAGATGTAAAGGCGAGGATTGGCAAAACAAGGGCGCATTCCTACAATCGAAGAACATATGGAACTCAAAACAAATTTCAACCAATATCAAAGAGAGAATCTTCAATACCAACGTCAAGGCAGTTCTACTGTATGGAGCTGAAACTTGGAGAACTACAACAACCACAATCAAGAAAGTACAAGTATTTATAAATAGCTGTCTACGCAAGATACTCAACATCCATTGGCCGGATACCATCAGCAATAGCCTTCTGTGGGAGAGAACAAACCAAATTCCAGCTGAAGAAGAAATTAGGAAAAGACGATGGAAATGGATGGGACATACATTACGCAAATCATCAAACTGCATCACAAGGCAAGTCCTAACTTGGAATCCTGAAGGGAAGCGGGGAAGAGGAAGGCCAAAGAACACATTACGTCAGGAAAGAGAATCAGATATGGAAAGGATGAATAATAACTAGAAGAAGCTGGAAATGATTGCCCAGGACAGGGTTGGATGGCGAATGCTGGCGAGCGGCCTATGTTCCTTCACGAGGAGTAACAGGCGTAAGTAAGTAAGTATGACCTTTAATTATATATATAGACCAATAATGGATTTTAATTGCTTATTTTTGTGTTTTTGTTGTCGAAATGCCAACTACATCTTAGGATATCGTTCGATGATTTTGAAAAGAATTTCAGTCTACTTGAAATATGTCATTTTGGATACTCAAGTTTAGACTACAGAGATGAAATCGACAAAAAGAAAAGATGTGAGGAAATATGTTTTGCTGGTGAATGGGTTGCGAATGTGAATGCTGGAGGATCATTCAACTATCCAGGTAATTCTGTTTATACCATTAAACAAGTTAGTGCATGATATCAATAAATAAATATTATCAGTTTAACATTCATGTACTATTCTTAAGTTACCAATATAGCCCATTCAAGCAATCAAATTCAAAATTTAATAGTATATATACATACTACCTATATTTGACTTCTTCACACATAAACTTCACTTGGAACACTGTTTATTTCATATTAAAGCAGAAGCCTTTATATCAGTAGGTTGTAGATTGAAAGTTAAATAACTAACTTGCCCAAGTCTACTTTCACATTTTTGAACAGTAGTTTCTAATTCTTATCACTATAAGTTTGATATTTAACTGCTGGTAACACATAATCATTGTAAACATTTGCTTAGTACTGAGTTCCAGGTTATCGACAGAACTTATATCTAAGTTATTAACAATCTACCAGCCTCATATCTATATTCAACAGATAAAATTCTCAGCGAAATCTATCTCAATAATGCTATCAAAAGTAGACTTATCTAAACGCTTTTATCATACATGATCTATTTTGTTTCATGAAATATACAAATGATGATTTATCAAAATAATTAAATACAAATTTATTATACAGAATCGTTCTGTACAAATCCACAGTATTTATTTACAATTGGAACTGACCATAGTGGTAAAGTTACTAAAACACATATCATCGTAGGAGTTATGCAAGAATACAGAAGACTTTTATATGGCGGAGATTATTTGGCTATAGGTTTTTCAATATATGAAGTAAGTAATAATATAAATTTATAAAATACGCTTCCTGATGATACTTTCTTTTGTGTCGTAAGAGTTTTACAAAGATTAATAATAATGGTGAAAGTTAAATTTAATTTTATCTTCATTAAAACAGTTGACTTTCAAATAATTGGTCAAATAATATGATAATTGAGAGACTATAACCTATTATTATCGTTATTATTATTACTTGATGTGTGGTAGTGGAAGTAAAGTACGATAGGTCGTTGAACATGGACAAACAGTCACAGCCTACGAACTATTCAATATATTTTTGATTGAGATCATAAATCGATGAATGTTAGACCAACACTGGAAGAATTAGACGCCCGCTTCGTCCTAGTATGAGACTCATCAGCAGTGTGCATCCACAATCCCTCACGCGGGATTCAAAGTTAGACATTGACACCGTCTCATGCTGGCTCAGTGGTCTAGAGATTAAGCATTCGCGCGCGAGACCAAAGATCCTGGGTTCGAATCCTATTTTAGGATGATTCGGCCACCCGGTGCTTGCAGGTTTTCAGTGGTGGTCTAATATTCATGGATTCATGATCACAATCAGAAACTTAATAGTCTCCACAACCCCAAACTGATATTAAGTATGTAATTATCCTTCCTCTCATTGATTTCTACTCTGGACTTTCTGTGTGTGAGTGCTTGTAACTGTATTGAATAAAATACTCTCTTGCATTAATCTGGTTCTCTATTTTGTGGCACGAATTCTGATTCTGATATAGTGTGATTAGCATCATTAACGTGTTATCGTAATATAGGTGCAAGAATGGTAAATATTACAACCATCTGTTATATCATTATTATTATCATTATTAATTTATGAGAACTTTTGTTTAAATTCGAACGGATATTTAAAGTAATAATAGGAAAAGTGTACTACTTTCCACAGATTGTATGTATGATACTAATATTGCTGAGTATTTTATAACGCTCAATCCTAAATTGAATAAAGCTATACTCGGAAGTGCTAATAGTTTGTGGTGAATATCTATAAAGTGAAAGATTAAATGTAGAAGGATAAGATAATTCATTTGAATTTTGACTGATACCGTACTTGTTCTACATGGTCATAACTTTTAAATTCTCCTCTCATACAAGTCAAATGGACAACAATCATTCATCTTAAAGACCTTTCTTTTAATTCCCCATAGTTACGTCATATTTTTGATTCGTGAAATAATGTAATATTTTATTTATAAATAAACTAATTTTATTAATCATTGTGTATATACAGCTTAAGTGAATGAAATTTTCTTCGTTGAATTGCCCTTAAATTCACTTTTGTTTTATTTGTTCCTTGTAAAGAAAAAATTCCATTCATTTGTATTAGCTTATGATTGTTTATGTTAGTTTATGAATAACGATCATAATTATTAACCAGTTTTCGTTTTTACTTTGTTATAATATTTGCTTATATACATATACCTATTAATCAATGACCTATGACAACAAAACTAGAAATTTATGCAAACCCTTTTTTATGGTAATTACCATGATAACACCCCCCCCTCTTATTGCATATTATATTGTAAAATATCATAATTATGGACTTATAACTGTAAAACTTGATGATGAAATGATTGAAAACAAATGTTTGCTCAAATATTCTTTATTTATGCAAATATTTAGCCAAGGGTGCTAGAAAATATTATAAAACCTATTTTATTCCTATTTCTTGATAATTTTAAACTTATGGGTGAATGGTATCTTCTATCGCAACTCACTTTATACTGACTAATGGATTTGGTATCTTGATTCTAATCAAATAATAATTGAATCTGCTGATGGTATTACTCTCATAAAACATTTATTTAACTTAAGAAAGAAAGAAAAAGAAGGTGGCCGTATAACATCATGCTTGTATAAAGGTTAATCTTTATATTATGTACGATCATCTGTAATTATGTTCTCATATGATGAAGGATTACTTCTAGTTATTATGGTATATCAACCAATGGCAAGGGTGGATATCATGAAACATAAATCATAAATAACTATTGGAAAAAGATAGAGACCACTCAACTGTTAATTACTCTTTATTCAACATTACTTAACAAACCGTAACCACTGACTTAAGAAAAAAAAGCACATTTTATGGCAAACTGTTTAAACATTTAATGCATTATTCAGTAAAAACTATATTTAAATTAATTTTATGAAGAACAGTTAAAAATCTATTAACTTAGGTATCTGAACTGCAAAATACATGTCTTACAGCAGAAGAATTATTATGCCGAAAACCATTGTTAACATCAGACTACATTCCAAGACGTGAAGTAACATTAGATGCTGACCTTTTTCCTGGAACATTTATTATAATACCATCAACATATAATCCAAATCAAGAAGCACGATTTATTTGTCGAGTATTCTCTACTGTAAAAATGAAACAATTGTAAGTTTCAGTTGAATAACTATAACTAAATGATTAAATTGTGTTAATTTAATATAAAAACTAGCAACATTTATAACAAATCTGATTTTAAAGATATATTAAAAACTAGAGCTAACTAATGTAGTAAGTTTCGATAATGTTGTAGTGTTAGACATTAGTTTCAGCCCATAATATATCTTATTGTAGTTTCCGGACATTCAATTATTCGCTTATTAGCCTTGACTGTTTTCATATGAGCGTATATGTGTACACTTCATGTCTCGTGACTCATCACATGTAAGTAGTTTATTTTGTCTGCCTATAAATATTGAGTAATGCCCGGCTTGAAATGGAGTTGGCTTCCCAGCCATCTTCCATGCGCGTCATTTTGCTCTGTTCTATTACATTCACTTACGAAATATATGTATTCAAAGGCTATTCTCGTTAATTGACTTATCTAAATTCCGTTATTGACTAATGTGATTTAAGTCGACGATTATATACGAGAATAGGCGATAGCAAACATTCATACACTCTGAATGGAGTCAGATCACGGGCCGCCTCAATGTAATAAGAAGACGAAGATTATCAGAATTATGTGATATATTAGCGCAATGTAGTAAGCCAAACAAGAAGGTCAATCGATGGTAATCAGAAGTGACCTGAAGGGCAAGTACATTTCATTAGCTAAGGAATAGACTGACTTCCCAAGCGGTATATATATATATACGAATATTTATGCATTATATTTGGTATACAAATACTCTACCTCATCTACTTTGGTGTTCTCGATCAAATAGTCAGGTGGGGGATTAGCACGTAGCACATCATGTATCAGTAACAGATTTCGGACACCGCCCACCGTAATATTAACGCTCATAAAACGACTGCTTTTTTCTAAAAATAACATGTGATCAATTTGTGATAGGATATATGTTAAACATGTTTTGCTTTTATGAGAAGTAAACGATAAAGTGTACTGAAAAAATATGAATATTATGTTGATTACATTGATTATAATTAATCAAAGGAAGAAAGAGGATCAAAATGTTTTATTTGTTTTTGTTACCAAGGCAGTTGATGATTAACTACTTACTATATTTAAAATGCGAAAGTCAGGTCTTAGCTGTTTAACGGAAATATCTTACGCGAATTGAACTGTTTATTGTACATTTTGAATGTTTCGAGTCATTGTTATACCTCGAGTTTAGCAAGAGGTGAAATTGAACGAGCTCAAAACACTTTGCTTAGACCTAATATTCATGTATAGACAAGTCAATGAAAATGAGATTTATTATATATCCGTGATTAAACCCTACTGAAATTATCAGGTACGATAGTTAGCTAACATAATTAGCCAACTTGTGAAGAAACCGCTATGTACTGTGTGAAGAACACTTCTCACTTTGATAGATTGAGTAAATATATAATATAAACTTTTAATTTACTGTGCCATTTTTTCACGGTTTATCAATATTCCTTTGGAAGAAAGTATTGACATTAATGGTCAATACTCGCAACGGATACTACGACTACAACTCATACTGTTACTAAGATGATAGACTAAAACTTTCAATTTCAACTTAACAATGAATTTTATTATTAAGCAGATGGTATGACACTTTAAGACCAATCTTTGAGAATGTATTCATTGTAAACTTGGAGTGAAAGATAAGTATTCGTCACATGTCACCTGCAATCGAATTATATGTACAAATAAAAAAATTGCACCGAAAAGACAGTAAGGAAAGCTTCTAATCAATTTTTAGTATAGTACCAGAAACTTGCACCTTGGAAGACAAAATGGTCTTCAAAGTTTGATTACACGTTGACTTAAAACATTCAAAATGTACAATAAACAGTTCAATTCGCGTAAGACATTTCAGTTAAACAGCTAAGACCTGACTTTCGCATTTTAAATATAGTAAGTAGTTAATCATCAACTGCCTTGGTAACAAAAACAAATTAAACATTTTGATCCTCTTTCTTCCTTTGATTAATTATAATCATGATCCATTGAGTTCAACTCAAACGTCTGACTTTTCCTTCTTTCTAAACTTCTTAAATCTTCATTGAGTTGAGTAACAGTATTAATTATGTTCTAGAATGACCATCTTAAACAATAAGAAAAAAATCTTTTTAAGAAATTGAGTTCTTAACTTATTTTAAATTCCAAACAATCTATTCGCAACTGCTGAACAATTAATTTATTGAGTGCTAAATTATGTTAGAAATTCAAATGGAATATACTTGTTTATCGCTAAAAAGAACACAACAACACAACTTACTTTGTTTATACATGTTAAAGGAATCCAATAATTAATAGTTTCAATCCTTGAGATCATGCGTCAATTGAAACTAGATCACCATGGAAAACCTGGAAGTACTGAATGGCCGTTAAGTCCTATTTTCGGACTCCTCAACAGTGTGCATCCACGATCCTGCCTCGAGAGTTTCGAACCCAGGACCTATCGGCCTTGCGCGCGAACGCTTAACCTCTGATAAATGTTTAAAACAGACAGACTTCGGCTAATAGTAGAACTTAGGGTACATTTTTCTCTTTATTTGAGTCTTATCAGTTAAATATAGTGCATCCAAGTTTTCATATTTCAGTTAAAGATACAATCCATATATTCTAAAGAACTTGTAAAAATGATTACATCAAGGCAGTCTACACAGGATCCATCTATGGAAATAGAGAACAACCAAAATTTAATCAATAAGAAGATCAATCAAACCCTTATTTTATGAACATTAAGTTATTAGTTATGTTTGATCAGTAATATGCTTTTTTTATTCAACATCCAGAAAAAGCATCAAAATGTGGGTACATTTTTACACTTGTATAACCATTAAATAATGTTATATTAATGGCTTTTATAATGCTACTTTAGTCTTGTTATATTTATGACAGAATAACCTCAGTTTAACTACCACTGGGAACTAGTGTGTTTTAGTAGAATGGGGTCTGGCTACACGTAGATCGTATGAATGATTGTTATACATATCTCTAACCCTTGTATATAATCACCGACTTAAATCGCGTTAGTGAATAACGGAATTATATACGTCAAATACGAGAATGAATTTTGAATACGTATATAATATTTGATCGGAAAGAAAAGCAAGACAAAATGAAGCGCAATGGAGAAGCGAGTGGGCCAACTTGATTTAACCAAGCGCTAATCAACATTTATAGCCAAACAAAAATAAGATACAGACATGATGAATAGGGTAAGTAACTAACATACATGAGATCATTTTAAAACAGTCAGGATGGACAAGTGAATAAGTGACAGGGTTAAAATTTGGCTTGAGAAGAATGAATAGATTGGTCTTTCCAGAAGCTAGGATAAGCTAATATGGACTCAACATAGTAACTGACACTACAGAGTAATAAACCATAGTTCCATCCTAACTCCTGACAATTGGTACCCATTATCCGACCATGGGTCAAGCACAGAAGCTCCGGATCTTGAGTTAACCTCCTAATGTCTACTGAAAACATATGACTAATTATAGTTTATGCATGTCTTGAGATAACACTATTTTTATTGATTAATTAGCTGTTACTCTTTATTAGTGAAATATTTTAAGAAATATGCTTATTTTTCGTTTTATCTTAGAGAACTGGATGAGGAGAATTTATACGAAGGCTTTCCAAAGGTATGTTTACATGTTATCGTATATTAACGACAGTCTACAGAATACAAATACCTGTTATTAATGGTTTTATTCAATATTGTATATTTGGTGTAGTATAGATTTCTCAAGTATTTCCTTTTCTTATTTCGTGATCGATCCTGGTGATAAATATTGAGTGATCTCCAGTTAGATGTTAGCAGTTCAGGAATCGACATCTGAATAATGTTTATTCTGTTTAATGCATACTGTCAGGCAAAACGGTGTCTCTGGTTATACGTCTTTGTAACTTGTAGAGTGAAATATCGTAAACTTTTCATAAAGTCACCAGAACAAGTTGTGCAAATAATAGACGTAGCAAAAAACAGGTATCTCGCTGAAAAACGTAAATGGCTGGAACAGATATCTCAGTTATTCAAGCAAGCCCCTAATAACAACTATATATTTGTATTAATAGTTCATAAAATGTTAAAAGTCTTAAATATGCTCAACATCAAAAATTTTGTGAAAATTAGACGTAATTTATCAGAATTATGTGATATATTTCCGCAATACATTTCGAACAATCTGATCACACATACACTTGTTAAGAACATTTATGTATGAAAATTAAGAGGTCAACTAGACAGGTTATGGGTAAGTCATAACAAAGGAAAAATATTAGAAGGTAAGTATCTAAATTTTCTATTCATGATACTTTTCAATTTATTGATCGTATTAAGGACGTTAATACTTCCGGAAAACACATGTTATCGCTTAACGTTAACTCTTTGTTCACTAGTGTACCTTTAACCGAAACGATATGTTATATATGTGAGTATATTGATTCCAACAACATAGATCTAGGTTTGCCGACAGAACACTTGAAAGAACTATTGTTACGCTGTACTTTTAATGTCCAGTTTAGTTTCAATAATGAAGTATATAGACAGAGGGATGGAATCGCAATGGGGTCTCCATTGGGTCCGATTTTAGCAAATTGTTTCATGGCAAAACTAGAAAACGACCAAATAAGCTCAATGATCAATCAAATTCCACCTATACGTCAGATATATAGACGACACGTTTATCGTTTGTGACAATAATATTGATTTATAGGATATTTTACAAACCTTTAACTCATTCCACCCTTCTACAGACTTCACGTTAGAAAGGGAACGGGACCAATCAAGTCCTTTTCTCGATATACGTCTGATGAGAAGGAGTAATGGTTCTTTAAAAAGATCCATCTTTAGAAAACAAACATGGAATGGACAGCTAACTTCTAATGCTGGTTTCCGTTAAGTAGAAAGAGAAACCTCATCCACTCTTTATGTTATCGAATACGTCAGATATGCAGTAAGGAATGCATTAACGAAGAACTTGAATTCCTCAAGAAAACACTGACGGAAAATGGTTACCCGGAACGGTTCATAGAAAAGAATATGAATAGAAGTAGTTGTGACAAGAAACCTGGTTGCTCCGTTACGGAGAAAAACCTTTATATAAGTCTGGAATTTAAAGGTGATCGAACATCAGAAGTAATCAAAAATCGTCTAACAACAACTATTAGAAGAACATTTAATACAGCTAAATTGCGAATAACCTTCACGAGTAGGAACTTAATTTCTGTGTCCATAAAAGACAAGCTTCCAAGTCTGGTCTCCTCCATGTGCATCTACCAGTTCATCTGCTCTTGTGGAGCAAGGTACATTGGCCGTAGCCAGCGCTCGCTTTCAACTCGGATACGGGAACATATTCCAGCTTGGTTGGGGAAAGGAAAGCAGTTAGGAGTTCTATACTTGAACACCTAATCGACTGTAACCATTCCACAGACCCAAAAAATGAATTTAAGGTTGTTTATATGATTCGTTTAAATCTACCCAGATTTCTTAGTATCCAACTTTTAAAAATAGCCGAAGCTCTTACCATCCAGGAGCTTAAACCAGAACTATATATATATATATATATACGACATATATACATATATATACGATTGTACAGCTTGATAATAAATTCGTTGAAAAGAGATCCTTTCGCTGAAATTCGTGTTTTAACTAACAACAATCGAGGACGCATCAGTTTCATTCTTCTGGACCAGAGCAGAGAAGCATATTAACTTCTCATCACTTTAAATCATTAAAAGAATTGCGAAATAATGCTGATATGATTATACTTGAAACCGATAAAGGATCTGGTGTTGTTATTATGAATAAGTCCGATTACAAAAATAAAATGGAATCTATTCTCAGTGATAAAAACAAATTTTTGGCTGATGTTGATTTTAATGGATTACGTAAATTAGAAAAGAAAATAAACTCGAATCTTGTGAAATTGTTAAACATGAATGCTATTAACAAAGATGAGTTTAATTTATTAATACCTATGGGTTCGGCATATCCTAATTTATATGGATTACCGAAAATTCATAAGCCTAGTACCTCCCTGCGTCCAATTCTATCGATGTGTCTGTCGCCTACACACAACCTTTGCAAAATGGCTTACAAAATTATTAAACCCTATCAGAAATCAATATTATAAGTATTCATTGACTGACTCATTTGAATTAATTAATTACTTAAAGGATATAAATTTAAAGACAAAGACAATGTGCTCCTTTGATGTTAACACTTTATTTACAAATGTTCCTCTTAGGAAAACCATTGATATTTTATGTGACTATATTTCTTCGAATAACCTTTCACTGCCATTTCCAGTTAAAACTTTTAAAGATTTATTATCATCGTGTACAGATGATGTAAAATTCACATTTGAGGGTGAACACTTCAGACAAATAGATGGTGTAGCTATGGGTAGCCCTCTAGGACCATTACTGGCTGATGTGTTCATGGGATATGTTGAGAATTTAGTTGAAGACTCAATTCGAAAGATGGGTCTGTATAAACGACATGTAGATAACATAATAATCATAATAATCAACTTGTCATTATCGAAAAGACAAGGTCTATGTTTCACCAAAAGCGCAAACAGCACGAAAGCGATTGTGTCATATCCCATTGTGTCTATCAATTTACATGTATGTGTGGTAACACGTACATAAGGAGGAGCGATCGTGATTTGCAATTAAGGGTGGGTGAACATATACCAAAATAATTAAAGGTCATAGAGATGTAAAAAATAAATAAGGTGATATGATGAGCATTTACGAATAAAACAATCAGAATATAAGACATAAGTAAAGGGGAGAATGCAGTAATAATAATAGTAATAATAATAATAATAATACAAAAATGGTTGCAGAATCAGATGGTCAAATAAGGTCACAGGATAGACAGACATCATCCTCCACTGCGAAACGTTTGATTGAGACGGGTCATAAGGTTGATATCAAATCGGCATTTGTTGTGTTGTACAAAAGTATTCAAGGACGTATACTAAGGTTTATTGAGGCTTTGGCTATACGGAAATTGAAACCCCCTTTGTGTGTTCAAAAACAATTTGTCCTTACACTTAACCTACCCTGGTAATACTATTTATGAACCAGAGTGGTAATCACATTTGTTTTTTATGTACTTTAATATTTTTCCTTTTCTATGACTTACCCTTAACCTGTCTAGTTGACCTTCTAATTTTCAGATACAAATGTACTTAACAAGTATATGTGTGATCAGATTGTTCGAAATGTATTACGCAAATATATCACATAATTCTGATAAACTACGTCTTCTCATCGCACAATGTAATTTGTTACAAACCAATGGGTTGTACGGATGGCAATCTAACCCCGTGATTAAAAACATTTTTCCAAGATTCTAAAATTGCACCTCTCAATATGCTAGGGTTCATTATGGCTGAAAATATTGAGTACCCAGTTAGAGCCTCAGTGTGCATATCAAAACTAGGATGTTAACAAATCTAGTTGATGAGTACTAAATAGGATAAAATGCAAATCCATTATTTCACTTCAAATCACTTTTCATATCTGTAAAGTATACTGCTTGACGGCTCATATACACCTACTCTTCGTAAAAATAACTCAGCTAAGTTATGTGAACCCTTAGAGTACCTCCATAATTAAAATTATCAAGCAGTCATTACAATTTTAAAGAACATACCATTACTGATAGCAGGTTATATCTAGCTTAATTAAAACTAAAGACGTAAGTGTATCCTAAAACTCACCAAAAATATATATACCACTTCTAATCTTGTGTAAAGAATTGAAATGTAATTCATTCACTGAATAACTCCTACTACTTAGTGAAGTTACAAGTCCTTTTAATTAAAGCCATCTAAACTACTCGACTGAATAATGTTAATTGAAATGTTTCCTTAATAACATTAGTTTAACCTACTTTATTACCTGGTTTTCATTAGTTCCCCAGATGATATTGATATGGTGGAGAATATTTGTAGCTGAGGTGGAGGACTTTGATGGAGTTTTGTTCTCTGAGCTGGATGGTTTGGTCGTGGAGCTTTCATCGTTCTTCTGAACAATATCATCCAGCTCAGAGAACAAAACTCCATCAAAATCAGCTGATATTAATTCGTGATGAAACATATTATAACTATGATGTTATTTACACAAAGTTGTGATAATAATTATATTTCATTGTAAACGTAACGAAATACTATTCATTATCAATTATTGTTATTCATTAAAAATTTCAGTCAACAGCAGAAGCTCTTCAAAATATCATGTTAGTAAGTTTAACAATGTTTCCATTGATTTGATTCATTTTAATTGGAATTTTAAGTTTAGTAATCGATAAGTTTGTGCATTTAATAATAAAAAAATGTGTGTTAGCCATAGTTATCACTGGATGATACACTTTTCCCATGTCTTAACTTTCAATATTAACAGGAATCGACCCAGTAACACATGGTCATCGTGTTTATTGATTTAATATCTCGAGTTGTAGTACCGAATATTTTGTCGAAAGAAACTGCCTCGTCATACGATAGCATATGTGGGACTTTAATCATATATCTTTCTGCATGAGAGATTTTAAGTTTATTTTAGTAACATACTTTAATAAGTACTCATGAAATTATATCGCTGGTTATCGGTTTGTTTTAGGTCTTGGTTATAAAAACAAATACTTACTTTATGATAGGCTCAGATTTACAAATCTGTTGATTAGTGACCACATTGAATATTGTATCATTATGAATGCTTTACGTAAAAGTGCTACCCTAAAAAAGTCTACATCATTTAATTAGTTATAATTATCAAAATTTTTAGTGTTATTTAAATTAAATAGATGCTTTATAAGACTAAATGATCATAGAAACGAATAATTTAGTGTTCTACTACCATTCTTATTTTGATATTGTGACTTCATTGAAAGAAGTTTTTAAAACATGATTGAAATGATCATTTTGTTAAGTCAAACAACAGAATGTTTACTTATTCGTTTTCTTGTAGAAGGAACTTACTTCATTGGAATTAAATTTTAAGCAGTTATGTAATCCAATCACCGAAACAATCAATTCTAGAATATTAGGTACTATTCTGGATCAATATAATTTTCGAGGTGAGTCAACTCAACCTCTTACTTTTTACTTATACTTATCCATGCTTATTGAAAATAGAATGATTAACTCATGCTAGTTTATTTATTTGTAGTACTATATAATCATACCATACTGCTTATTAATGAATATTTTAAACATGATCATAAACCATAGATATAATGCATTCCATTCATCGATTTCGTTATTAGAGGATCTTTTTGATGTTTGAGAGTTTTAAATAAAAGGTAACTCATAATTTAATAGGGATTATAATCAGAATGGGTTTCTGTGGAGAGTTTAAGAAATTTCACAAGTTGAAATCATGAGTCAGTTGAAGCTAGATCACCATTGAAAACCTGGAAGCACTGGACGGCCGTCCCGTCCTGGTATGGGACTCCATCAGCAGTGCGCATCCACGATCCCGCACCATGCGGGGCTCGAACCCAGGACCTACTGGCTTCGCGCGCGAGCACTCAACCACTAGACCACTGAGCCGGATGGCATCCAACGGTGTTAATGTCTAACTTCAACCAATCCACGAAGTTGCGCCACCGTACACCAGTGGAGTTCAACCGGTCTGTTTTGAGGTAACAACTCACTGAAGACAATGGTGTACGGTGGCGCAACTTCGTGGATTGGTTGAAGTTAGACATTAACACCGTTGGATGCCGGCTCAGTGGTCTAGTGTTTAAGTGTTCGCGCGCAAAGCCAGTAGGTCCTGGGTTCGAATCTTGCGTGGTGCGGGGTCGTGGGTACGCACTGCTGAGGAGTCCCATACCAGGACGGAACGGCCGTCCAGTGCTTCCAGGTATTTAATGGTGGTCCAGCTTCAACTGACTCATGATTTCAACTTGTGAAATTAATAGGGATTATTGAGTTCTATTAAAAATATTATTAGTTACTAATGACAGAATTCCAGAGATTCTTAATACAATTCAAAAATGATAAACTTTTAATTTCACTACACCACATAGTAGTTGGTAATTTTCTTATTTTATTTTTCTATTTCAGATTATATTAATGGTTTTACGGAATTTCCTAGTAACTTGTGTAGTAGTTTAATATCTTCGGCATCTGTATCCTTTATTAAAAAAATATCATAACAGTAATCATGATTTGATTTGCTTAACAGTAAGTAAATTTAAGAATTATACAACAGGTTTATCGATTTTTGGAATTGGTGATCTGAAAATGTGGTGAAAAAGTGTGACCGTTTGTATTGATAACAATAAAGAATGGATTTTATTAGGTCTATACTTAATCAGTGTTAAAAATGTCTGACTTCTGCTCATGGGTTTGTGTAGACACTTATGTTTCGATGCGGGAAGAAAAAATAAAATCTTGTTTAAAACAGTTATTTCTTTTGACTAATTTATATAATGCAATTAAACGACAGTTTGTCAGATCTACGTGTAATTTTTTATTGTAAGCCTTCAGAAACGGTAACTATTTCCACAAAAGCTAATCGGTTTCACCAGAGAAGGTTTGATCAACCAAGGAACGTTGAGTATCTCGCTTAGACAATTGTTCATAATTACTTGTACTATTTTGATGACGGTTATGGTAGTCCTCGAAGTTTCAGCTCCACACAACAGAAATGTCTAGAAGTTCGTATTAAACATATTCACTTTGATATTAGTTAACAGTTGTCTTGAGTTCCATATGTTCTTCAATTGTAGGAATGCGGCACTTGCTTTGCCAATCCACGTATTTACGTCTGCATCTGATCCTCCAAAGTCATCGACAACGCTGTCCAGGCACGTGAACTTCTTCACATCTTCCAGAGCTTCTCCATCAAGTGAGATTGGGTTTGTGTTCTCCATGTTGTATTTGAGGATCTTTCTTTTTCCCTTGTGTATGTTGAGGCCTACTGATTCAGAGGCTCCAGCTATACTAGTTGTTTTCATCTGCATTTGTTCGTGTGTATGAGATAGAAGAGTTAGGTCATCTGAGAAGTTCACATCATCTAGTTGCATCGAAGCTGTTCACTGTATTCCGTGCTTCCCCTCAGATGTCAATGTCTTCATAATCCTACAGTCAACCACCAGATGAAAGAGAAAGGGGAGAGTAAACAGGATTGTCTGACTTCGGCCCTCACTTCAAATGCGTCTGTCAGCTGTCCTCCATACACGATTTTGCAGTGCAGTTCGTCGTATGAATTTCAGATGATGTTGACGACCTTTTCAATTACTCACTCCACAGTGTCGAAGAAGTCTCCATAAGGATCTCCTATTCATACTGTCAAACACTTTCTCAAAAACAAGGAAGTTGGTTTATGGTGGCGAGTTCCACGCAGTTGATTACTCAACGATGTTCCGTAGTGTGGCGGTTGGGTTTATGTACGACAGATCCTTACGGAATCCAGCCTGTTTATCTCAAAGTTGAGTGTCTACTGAATCGTTCATTTGGTTCAACAACACTTTTGTGAACTTTTTCTAGTTTAGATAATAGCATGGTCCTTTTCTATATCTCTCAGTAGTCTCCTTTCTTTGGTATCTTGATGAGATATCCGTCTTTCCTGTCTGTTTGCACCTGTTCTTCCTCGCAACGTCTTTTGGATAGAATGTAGAACATCATTGCAATTAATTTTATGTTTGACTCCACTGTTTCAGTAGGTATATTGTTTGGTCCTTTTGCTTTCCCACTCTTGATTTGTCTGATAGCCTTCAGATTAAACCTGAATGATCAACTTATGATTAATCATATAACTCTTTTCAACTGTGTATTTGGCAATGGATGACTATGGGTTTGTAATAGACTGAAAATTAATTGGGGTAATTGGGATATTGCTTTTCCCGTGTAGGCTTTCTGCAGATAGAATTCTAGATTGAATCATTCATTCATCTGTTAAACATCTTGATGTTGTGAACTTTTCTTAACATGAAAGAATAATGTGAATTTGAAAAGAATTATACTTTTTCAACACATTACTCTCGCGTTCAGGCTTGTTAATTATGGATATGATTTTATGCGGATTTTGATCATGAAAGCATACATCTTTGTTGTAGTCATCTGGTACATTTTCAACGTATGATATGCGATATGTTAATCAGCAATGGTCCTAATATATTATGCATAAAAACAATGATCGAGTTGTCATAGTAATTACCTGTAGATTTGAACTGAACGTTTTCAGCGCTTAGTAATAACTGGATCTAAAAAAGTAATGAATGAAAAATTATCCAAGAAGACATAATCATTTAGACCATCATTGGGCTTTCTTATAAATATGTATGCAATTTGCCAAGTTTAATTAGTTCGTTTGTAACCAGATTGTATTTTACTTATTGTTATAATTGATGATCAACTGTTATGACTGCATTACCAACCATTATATCTGATCGTCGCTAGTTGTTATGTCGGAATCGCTAATCACTTATACTTGAAAATGAGGAACTAGTAGAATTCCCATGACGCGAAAAGTAAGAACACCAAGACTAGTACAAGTGAATATTTATTAAACTCAAAACACAAAAATACACTCATTTATATATTGGTTTTTGTACACCTATTTTGGTTAATAATTAGAATGAAATCATATATATGAAAAATACTTAAGGTTATAACAAATCATATGCTGTGTGTCATGTTCATTTAATACAAGAATATTGTATGTTATAACAAATGGAGTATTATGCAGGAAAACAAAACAATTACTACATTGCTTAATCATCACATTGAATTAAAACAGAAGTACTATTGAACAAAAATCCCAATCAGTAAAAGAATGTCATTTTACCTTATTATTATGATCATAACACTTATATATCAGAGTTCTGATAAATTTCATTTTCTCATTGTATTATATTTAAAAAGTTGTTATTTATTCTTAACAAATACTATGATGTTCAGACAAACTTGACAGGTCACATTGACTTAGAAGAGTTCTTGTATCTCATGACTGATCTTATGGGATGGATGGTGGGTTTTCAATTCATTATAGCTTATATTATTAATTATAGGATATTATAAAATGATTTAAGTTAATCAGTGAAACATCTTTTTATGATTATTTAAACTAGCAAAAAGGTTATATATAATCAAAGAGAGAGGTTTTGTGGAGATTTTAGTGACTTAATAGTTAAATGCATGAGTTACTTGAAGCTAGATCACCATAGAAATTATTCAACAATGTTATCCTGTGAAATTTTATCCGAAAACTGAATCTTATGCAAGTGATATCCATATAGTCAGAATGTATTCGATAAAACTATGTGCAGAATAACTTTTGTGAGGACTTATGATAAACCGAGATAAACGGTCATAATATCTGTTCCTGATAAGTCTTGTTAATTCGAACGCTTTATTCGGTTCCTAAGCTGTTCTGGTAACCCGCAAGCTAGAACTACGCAGTGACCTGAACTCGAGAGATAAGGCGCGAAATAAGCGGAAAACACTTCACTCCAAAGGTTCATTTTTGTACAGAAAAACACGGGTATTTATAGATGTTAACATTTGTTAAATCAACATCATATTTTGGCCAATCCGCTAAAAGACATGTTATGCTACAGACCAATAGTAGTACTCCACGTTGATATTCTAGAAACCTCCATCATGCTCCGATTGGCTAGGACTCTTCGGCTCCTTTAGGGCTTCTGGAGGCTCCGTTGCATTTCTTAGAAAGCCGACTCAACAGTTCCACTATGACAATTTTTTAAGTAAACTGAAATAAATGACAACTCAATGTAATCGACTTCCCTCCAGCAAGTAAAACTAACTGGTAAAATCTGATAGTTTAGCAAAGGCCTTTATGACTTTTCTTGTGATTGATGCTTATTTCTACTCTCAATATGATTGTGATCATCATAATCAAATAAATCTGGGCAACGAAAAGTGGCAAGAAGGATTAATAAAGCAGAATACAATGAATTTATTAATTTCATGAATACATAAGTATTAATCACTTGAACACTATTGTCAGTTTTCCACAGCTCTGGCGACCTGGGCATCAACCATTCAGTTATTGAATAGCTTATTTTGTGTTTGCAATTATAAATCAATTAACTTCATTTCTTTCCTATGTCTTATCTGACATATTTTAATCTTATTATCAGTCCTTTTAATAGTTTGTATTGCATAGTCCTTAACATCGATTGTTATTTATAAGACCAGTCTCCATACTCTTTAAAAAGTTTTCTTCTAGAATATTCACAAAAGTATTCTATCAATATTTAACCACAGTGCATTTCTTAAGCTTCTTGCATGTTTATTGGCTTTTGTGCTAAATCTGATCGATGAGAATTTCTCTGATATCATGATGTGACTTATGTACATCTTTCTTTTCAAATGAATTATAGTAATATATATTTGTCTTAAGTATCTAAATAGAACTTGTAAAACAAATGAATCTATCTTACTCTACCTCGTTCATTCTTCTTATTCTATTCCATTTGATCAATATGAAAAATTGTATGTAATAACAGGAAAGAGATTTCATTATTAATCTACCGAATAATCAATAACTATTATTAACAGCTGAGCTGATTTTATCGAATTTAAACCTACCATAGGAATCAGTTAAGGAAATGCAATTACTAGTAGACATTTCAAATTGATATGGCTAGCACTTAGGTATTCGTATTATTGACCAGTGTATTTGGCTAGTTTATAAAAAGTTAATCCATCTCTAACTACTTACTTAAATCTGTTACCAGTCGTGAAAGAGCGTGGGCCGCTCACCAGCATTTTTTTCCGAACTTTGTCCTGGACAATCCTTTCCAATTCCTATTCGTTCTTTTCACGTCTGCTTCCAATTCTCAAAGCAATGTGTTCCTTGGTCTTCCCCTTTTCCCTTTCGCTTCAGGATTCCACACTAGCGCTTGCTTCGTGATCTGGTTTGATGATTTCCTCAATGCATGTCCTATCCACTTCCATTGTCTTTTCCTAATTTCCTTTTCAGAATAAAGTTTGTTTGTTCTCTCCCACAGTAGGTTGTTGCTGATGGTATTCAGTCAATGGACATTGAGTATCTTGTGTAGACAACTATTTATAAATTCTTGTACTATCTTGATGATGGTTTTGGTAGTTTTGAAGTTTCATCTCCGTTCATAGAACCGTCTTGATGTTCGTATTGAAGATTCTCTAATTACAACATGATAAATTACAAAGAAAAGTGTCATTATAAATAATCGAAATAGTTATCAATTAATCAAACTGAACACTATAATTTTGTTAACTATGATTCGTACCATACATTACAGCCTAGTTCTTTATTGAGTAAATTATTCTAGACAATCAAGACCCTACTAAATTAAGTTTATCTGAGTACTACATCAACGAACTTAACGGTAGATCAATGGAACATGGGAACTTGCATTTCGCATCACAATAATCTAACTATAAAAAATTTCCAACTGACCAACTTATATGATAGCTATCTATTGTTGATGTTTCATAGTTTAATTCATTGAACAATATTTCTTAGTTTGTTATTACTAACTTTATCACTTTATTGAAAATCTCAATATACAGTACGCTTTTAACAAACATGATGATCGGAAAGGATGTGTGAGTTCGTTCAAATTTCGTGATTTATTGAAAAGTGCAGGTAGGAATATTAAGAAAAAATACATGTATTTATTATTGTATTATTAGTCTGCCAATTTCGATTTGCCGGTACATAAATATCATTATTCATAATTGATTAATCACTGGGTGGTGATTAATGTCATGTATGTCAGGTCCTTCTTGGTGCAGATCGAATGCTATCAACCAAGTTTCAATGTGGTCAGTAGTCTAAGTGACTCAACATTGCGTACACAATGTTGAGATAAGATGGTGGTTGGAAGTAGTTAACAGGAATCCCTGGACTCAGAATCGAATTCGTCAGGGAGCGTCAGTTCCCTCAAGATTACAGGCATAACTTGCTGACGACTTCCAAATAGCAAGAAACCCGGGTCCAGGGTTTCCTGTTGACTATCTCCAACCATCCTCTTATCTCAAATATCATTGCTAAATGGAGATTAATGCATTTAATCATTATTTTTGTGGTTTCAAATAGAGAACCCATGCACAAAACTACCATAATTTTAATTTCTAAACAGATAATTTTTATATAATATAATGAAGTCTTACAAACCTAAATTTTACAAACAAAACTAACCAGAAATATATCAAAAGACCTTCACAACATTCATTATTATATAATTTGGAACCTAGAGATAACAAGAATTCGTTCCCGGCTTTACGTACTTGAAACTTGATTTACTTCATTCCACTTCAAAAATATGTCATTCATTAGAATGCCTAAAATTGAGTTTTGTGTTACATAACATACTTGTGAAATATGGATCTGTGAGTGTTATGGTCAGTCGAGATTACTAATTGGAATATTTAAGATGATATTATGACTCAAAATAAAATCCGAGGAAGCAAGATACATATGAGTTACATTCACGTGACTCTGATTACAATTAAACGAGGAAACAAATTGAGTTTAAATGCTTAGTTCACTTTGTTACCAAACCTGTTAAAGGTTAATCACCAACTCTTTTGTTAATGCAAAGTTCAAGTCGAAGCTGTCTAAATGATATGATTCTCGCAAACACTTATGAGGCACAGTTGGATTGTTTGTAGATCACTTCGAAGACGCTCATTTCATGTTTGCTATGACCATTATTTATCAGTTGATGTGCTATCAAACTTTGTCGTGTATGTTCAAGGGAATATACTGAGTGAGACGATTAGAAGACTTTCTTTTTATTCTTTCATTTTATATCCCTTTTATACGTGTATGTAAATTAATATGTACATTTGGATATGACATGCGATGTGTAATTAATAAGTTATGTGAAGCTTCTAGAATCATTATCGTCTTCTGTATATAATTAGATTTATTCAATAAGACAACCTCAGAAATTTTACATGGTTTGATCATTGCTAGTTAATCGTCGTCCCATACATTTTTGTATGGTATCATAATGGGCTTTCGTCATAGCTTGGGAATGAAGGGATATTGTAGTGTAAAAGTAGTTAACAATATCAACTAGCTTTTGTTTTGAGCCAATCGTTTATCTTTACTTGATACCTTCGGTTCAGATACTTAGTTAGGAAATTAATAACTCAAAAATCCGAACAGACCGACATCAGTTAAAAAACATAAGGCATATTATTTTGTTATACGGTAATAAACTTAGAAATTAACCGAGTTGTAATTTATGAAGTAGACTAGATTCGATGTGGTAACCAATATATTTAAATTCGTAGTGTCGGTTGACGTGTTAAGCCCATAGATCTTATTCTAGCTTTCGGGCAGGCCAGTCTATTCATTCTAGTTTAGTCGTATTTTCCCTTGTTAATTATTTGCTTATTAACCTTGACTGTTTTCATATGAGCGTATGTGTGCGTACACATCTTATCCTATGCTCACATGTCTGTAACTTATTTTTGTGTGACCATAAATATTGATCAACGCTTGGCTAAATAGAGTTGGCTTACCGCCACCTCCACTACGCGTCGTTTCGCTTTGCTCTACTCCATTCGATTCTCCGATATTTTGTGTGGATCAAAGATCGTATGAAATATACGTATTCGAAATCCATTCTTGTATTTGACCTATTTAATTCCGTTATTAACTAACGCGATTTAAGTTGATGATTATATACGACGATAGGCAACATATACATTTAGACAGCAATCATTCAATAACAGTCATTCATACGATCTATTTGGAGTCAGATCCCGGACCACTAAAAATTACATTGAATTCCACTGATGATGTATAGAATGAAGATGGCAGATTTACTACTCCAAATGAACAGCCAATGACTCAACTATACTATAGACTTTTACTTAATATCCGATAAGTTAGAAACCAGAGGCAGTAATCAATAGATTGAGTTTGCCAAAGCATTATTATCTAAATAATGGTTAGATGTTCTATCCATCAAGGTGCATGGTCATCATTTCCAACAATTTAATTACTTATGTCATGTATCTAGCCAGGAATTCTTCGAACGAATTAGACTTAATTTATAATATTTCCAAACTACTTTTTTATATTCTTCTAGCATTAATACTTCTTATAAGTTGCTGATCTCAAAAAAAATAACTAATTATAATACCTCATCTATTTTGCAATTTCTCAAATAGGTTATAGCGTCAGTAATAGAGTTCTCTATACTTTGGTACATCGATATGTAGATCATAAACTAGGCCATGTTAGCTGTGAAAGCTACCTACATTGTATGGCACACCTTAAACATGCCTTCGATGTCATGTCGTACCACCCGAAAAACGATAAGGGTATTCTAAAGTTTAACCGTGAAGATGTAAGTTATCTACATTGGAATTTCATCAATTTAAAGTTAAAATGTTTCTTCTTGATTGAGATTCCAGTTTTTCGACTTACTATTGTTAATCTGACTTTTTTCAGTGAATGATTCCTATTGTTATTATACGTTTGTAATAAAAGATTTTTTGAATATACCATATTTATTATTGGTATAATGTTGAATCATCATAGTGGCATATCATAAATGTCCAATGAACAAATTCTCGATTATTAATTGAGTAACTTTTATATGCGATGTAGTCACGTTTCCCAAATTTCAGTCTATTCTTGTCAGCATAATTTTAGTATTAACTTCCTACTCATCTATTTTAATCTTAAAGAATGTCACTACATACAAGTACGAGAGCATGAAGAAAGCAATAATGATTTACCATGGATTCTTTATAATATTTTAAAAGTATTGACTTACGGTAAAATTTTAACTGACTAGTAAAGAACATAATGAATGTAGGTTTGGAGGAGTGAAATAACTCTTTTATCTACGTTAAGAAACAAATGAGTACAGTCGTATTATTATTATGCAGTGCACTTAGATAGTTCTTCACCGAATGATTATCGGCCTGTTGAATACAGAAGAGCTGTATATCACAGGAATCAAATCCAGTCTATTTATTAGACTATTACAAGTGGATTGTGATCAAGTCAATCAAACAATATTATGCTAAGAAACGTTTGTTCGCTGAAGTCAATCTAAAGAGTAGACAAGAATGTTCTCTTCCGAATATCATGAAATATCAACGTTGCTAAGTTCTTTCTGAAATCCTGTAGTCCTTCATTTCATCTATACTGTTTTAACCTCCAAGAATCAATGAATGATGAACAAAAGAAAAACATTACCAAGCCACTAATAAACAATATTTTCCAACAATAACAAAAAAAATTGTTATTTAATTTTAGAGTAGTTTTGATTTTTAGATATCCATATTTTCACAGATTTAAATCATGAGTCAGTTGAAGCTAGACCACCATTGAAAACCTGGAAGCACTGGACGGCCGTTTCGTCCTAGTATGGGACTCCTCAGCAGTGCGCATCCACGATCCCGCACCACGCGGGGCTCGAACCCAGGACCTACTGGCTTCGCGCGCGAGCACTTAACCATTAGACCACTGAGCCGGCATCCAACGGTGTTAATGTCTAACTTCAACCAATCCACGAAGTCGCGCCACTGTACACCATTGTCTTCAGTGAGCTGATATCTCACAACAGACCTGGTTGAACTCCACTGGTAACGGCTTCCCACTAGAACTCCAGGAGTATCTCTTGAAGTCAGTCACTAGTGAGCAGATGATTATTATCAGAAGGGGTTTGTGGAGATTTTAGAAATTTTCACAGATGGTGGTCTAACTTCAACTGACTCATGATTTAAATCTGTGAAAATTTCTAAAATCTCCACAAACCCCTTCTGATAATATCCATATTTACCATGTTTTGTTAAAATGATGCTTTATGAATAATAAATGTTTTTTTTCTTCTTTCTTATCCTTTTTCTTTCTTATCCATAGTACCTACGTTTATCTCTTTCTACATAAACTGTCATGTATTATTGGAAATTCAATAAATACATAATTCATAATAACTTCGAACATAAATATTCATCTGATTAACTAAATAATTTAATCACTATGTAAATCAACTATGTTGATTCGTTTCACTAGTGTTTACTTTTTTCTAGAATTTTGTGAATAGTTAATAAAATGGTTCTTTTTTTTGTACTGTTTTAACAATGACTGTTAACACTGTTATACAACTAAAAAAAGGAATAGAATGACACAAGTATGTTTTTGTTCGATTTTTATTGATTTCAGATTAGGTATGATATTTACACAACAACTATTTGCACCATGTAAAATAATATCTAACTGTTTGTCTATATTATATTTATAAGTGTAAACAATACAATAATCTTCTAGAATATCAGCTTGACAAACGGAGCATATAAATTCAGTTCTCATCAATTACTTCTGAAGATATGTATAAGTTTAAGGTAAAAATGTGATTGGTGAAGAGAATTAAACTGTTAGCTTCTAAATCTTACTTACTCATTTACTTACTTACACCTGATACTCCATCTGGAGGAGCATAGGCCGCACACCAGCATTCTACATATAGCCCTGTTCTGGGTAATCCTTTCCAGCTCTTCCCAGTTGTTATTCATACTTTTCATACCTGCTTCTATTTCTCGACGTAATCCGTTCTTTAAAATTCCGCTTTTCCTCTTCCCTTCAGGATTCAAATTTAGAGCATGCCTCGTGATGCGGTTTGATGATTCCTTCAATGTTTGATCTATCCAATTCCAGTATCTTTTCATAAATTCCTCTTCAGCCTGATATTTGTTTGTTCTCTCCCACTGTAAGCTCTTGCTGATGGGATCCGGTCAACAGACATTCAGTATCTTACATTGAAAATTGTTCATAAATGCACGTACATTTTTGATAATGATTGTAGTAGATATCAAAGTCTCAACTCCACACAGTGCGAATAACTGACTTGACGTTGGTATAGAAGATTCTGACTTTCATGCTAGCTTGTAAACAGTTGTTTCTAGTTTCATATGTTCTTCAATTGTTGAAATACTGATCTTTTACTTCACCAACCCTTACATTCACATCTGCATACCATCCTCCTTGTTCATCGATGATGCTAACCAGACACATGAACGTTTTCACATCTTCCAGAGCTTCTCCATCAAGTGAGATTGGGTTTGTGTTCTCCATGTTATGTTTGAGGATCTTGCTTTTTTTCGATGTGTATGTTGAGGCCTACTGATTCAGAGGCTCCAGCTATACTAGTTGTTTTTATCTGCATGTGTTCGTGTATATGAGATAGAAAAGTTAGATCATCTGGGAAGTTTAAATCATCTAGTTGTATTCAAGCTGTTCATTGTATTCCGTGCTTCCTTTCAGATGTCAAGGTCTTTATAATTCAGTCGACCACCAAAATAAAGAGGAAGGGGAAGAGTAAACAGCCTTGTCTGTCTCCAGTCTTTACTTTGCTTCTAAATCACCAAGATAAAATTCTGTAGTCTGAACAATCAATAATAATTGTCGAAGGGAATTTAGACTCACTTATGCCACCGAATATTATATCTCACTGTTGTTAAAGATTAGGTTAATGATTTTTGTACAGAATACTAATTAGTTTGCTGTATTTTTCCGTCAAAATCTAAAGATAGATAGAACGATTAAGTGATTAATGACTAGGTTACTAAAACAACATATTAGAATATTCAACACTGTACAAATTAACATACCAATCAGTGACTTTAAATTGAGATTGTTAAACTCTATAATCCTAACTTAACTACACGTAAAAATCTATAATCGATTCTTTTTCAATTGATAGATAATTCCCATTTACACCTTAAAAATACAAAGTTCAGCGAATGGATCTCTTTTCAACGAATTATGCTGTACAGTCGTGAATATATACTAAAATTATTTTTGTCAAAATACTAGTTCTTTGGGGAAAATTGAACTTGAATAACCAAGATGACGTAATAGAAAGATTGTAATATTAGATTGCGTATTAAGACTATAGTTATTATTAGTAGTAAGTAATCTAGTATTATAATCTTTTTATTACGTCATCTTGGTTATTTGTACCCATGGTACTAGTACTTTAACAAAAAAAAACTTTCATATATGTACGATTATACAGCTTGATAATAAATTTATTAAAAAGCGATCCCTTGTATGAACTTCGTGTTTTTAAGTCCTTTTCAGCTTAATATATGCAAACAACCTACGTTTCATAATTGAATAAGAAATAGATAATTATTAAATTAGAATAACACTTATGAGAGAATAACATGAAAGTTATTAACACAATTAAAACAGTTCGTTAATTATTAATGATAATTAAACTGACCATTTAATTAATTATAATACGTCGGAAGTATAAATTGATAGATGACAAGTTTAGTACTAAATTCAAATATAATTAAGAGCATGAAAAAATGGACAATTACTTTGATAAACGAATTGACCCAAAACATCGGAGAATAAACTTATCAAAGATATTCACTAGTAATGCGAACTAACAATTTGTGATTTTCACATACAGTTTGGATAAGAAGATTGTCGCGCAACTTCGTGGATTGGTTGAGGATAGACATTAACACCATTGAATGCCGACTCAGTGGTTCAGTAGGTTAAGCGTTCGTGCGCGAAACTGAAGGCCCCGTGTTCGATTCCCGCGAGCAGGATCGTGGATGAGCACTGCTGAGGAGTCCAACAATAGGACGAAACGGCCGTTCAAGGCTTCAGGGTTTTAAAAGGTGATCTAACATCAATCGTTTCTTGATCTCAATCAAAAATTCTCAATATGTTGTTATAGTGATCGTTTTTTATTCTTAGGATTTGAGCTACTTATAAGTAAGCTAGTAGTCAATCTTCAATTTTCATAAAACGGATAGATTTTTTGTGTTGAAATAAAGTAAATTATTTCTGTCCATAAGCAAAGATGGATAGTCGCTAGCAGTGGAATCCAGGAATCAGCAACTAAGTAGATAATGCGATGGCGTTTGAAGTGGACCTTACTGATTTCGAGTCCTAAAGTGAACATCAATTATGAGATGCAGGTACATCCAGATGACAAGTCCCAAATAGAACGAAACGCGCGTCCTGGATTCCACTGCTAGCCACTATCCACCTTTGCTTATATTGCTTGTGAATTAAGGCAATATAGAGGCACTAAGCACAGTGTGAACATATGGCAATAAGAGACTGATCACTTGTGGTCCTAAACACAAAGTGGGAAATTCAAGTAAACAATACCAAGTGAATTTATTTCTGTCCATGTTACATATATTCTAGTGGACTTAATAACGGAAAGATATTTAACCACTGTTTGTCTAATGGTTTTACCCACAGCAAGATAACCGAACACAATCTGAGTTGTCAATCGATTTTTTTAAGAACCTATATAAAATGAGTTCGAATTCGTTCGAATGACTCAGATTGGACAACACTTTATTCAGCTAAATTAATCTTTGGGATGCTAGTTCATACTGACTGGTGGTTTTTTCTTCAAAATGAAAAATTGTGCCGAACGCAACTAGCTAGTAGCTGGACCTTGTCAAGTATTACATTTTCAATACATGGAAATATGAAAAAAATTTCCCCGAAAATGCCCTTTATTAATTTTCTTATTACTCATTGATGTAACTAATCCTTTTTGCTTAATCCAATGAAAAATTGTTAAAATGCTTGCAATTGTATGATGTTTCAATGTAACAGTTAGTAACCGATCTTAAACAGGTGTTTCTTCAAGACATGAAGTGGAATTAGATAAATTAGGGTAAAAATGAATGTGCAATGCCCATACCTGCTTCGGTCTGAGCACCCGGGCAGTATCCCAGCTCTCACACAAACCGAATGATTTATGTAGCGCATATCTATTTGGTGCCTCTTTGTACCAATGTTTATGTGTTAAAATAAATAAATAAACAGGAAATAAATTAATTCAAACGAAACTAGATTTCTAAAATCTAAAGGATGAGAAAATTTCAACACTTTATAACCAAACAACTATATGACTTAAATTATCTAAGGTAATGAAAAAGGGTGGATTTATTTCTTTTAATGCCGCACTCAGATCATTTAAGTCGTAACAGAATTGCTTATGGTGTTTAAAGGATTTGTAACCTAACTGCTTTTGTCAAGTTACCCTTAACATGAAATACTGTTTATTGTTTATATGAACCAGCTTGAGTAAAATAGAACAATCTTAAATGCATTAAACTTAATATGATATCCTAGTTACTTGAAACGTTTTGGCAATGATTTATTATTCATATAATAGTAAATAAACTATCTTGAAAATAATTACAAAATGTATACCAATTTACAGATATGATCAGGTTGATACATGAATCAAATTTACGTATAAATATAAAAGAAGTGTGAATTGAAATTGTTTGAAATGACAAGGTTTAAAAGTTGTTTTGGGAGCAAATTAATTACATGTGTTACAATAATGTGATACATCAGTTGAGAATTATTAATTCTTGCAGAAGAAATAGAGTCAATCAGTTGCAACTTAGAACGTGTACGTATGTATATTGGTTCAAGTTACCATACCCCATTAAATGAAGTTATCAAGCCAAATTCCAGAATAATAGATATACAAAAAACATCGGTAGTGATAGAAAAGATACGATTCAAGAAAACATAAGTTAGCGAAGTTAAAACACAAAAATATTATGAAGAATATAAAATCTTTGAATTTGAAGGAAGATAAAAAGCGAATGCACTTGCACTATTCCAAACGACTTTCAGCCATGTCATTCAAAGTCTCTAATAATTGATTATGTTAATTATGAAGACCCCAACCTGGTAGTCTGTACGTATTAACGTGACTTCATGAACTGATGTCATGTTTTAGTTTGGCTGCCTCCAGATAGTTCTTAGCCTGCTTCTGCACCAGAAAACATCACTTGTCGAGGTAGGTGGTGGTTAAATATACTTAACATGTGTCCTAACAACTTCAGTTGATGGAGATTCACTACCTCATCAACTAATTTGTTATCTCTACCTGGTGCTTTATTCCTAACCCCTGGATCGCTTTCTTTGTTGTCCCAAAATACAAGAGCAGTGTTTCAGATACATGTGAGTAAACACCAATAAACTGATAATATCTCCCTACTCTTAAAAATCATGTTTCAGGTCCATAAAGCAGAACGGAGGGAACTGCTGTGCAATAGTCTTGCCCTTTGTTTGGATGTAGGATATCTCGCCTACGCTATAAGTGACGCGAGTTGGCAAAGGCCGATCGAGCATTCTGAATCCGTGCCAAGATTTAGTCAGACGCCAGACTATTAGTACTGATGAGACTCCCAAGATAAGAGAGGCAGTCGGTGAGTCTAATTACTTCACTCTCATCACTAGTCCAGGCGGTGACACAAGCTGATTCTTATGTAACATTTTATATTAGCAGGTAGAGAACCGCATCCCATATACATCCGTACTGTTGCTTAAAGTTGTCCGAAGACTCTACATTTTCTTTCAGTGTATTCAACAAACACAACTATATGGTCTGCTTGTTCTAAGTGAACAAGGGAATCTCCTGGTAGATCAACTGCTGAAAATTCAGATGATGAAAATGGTATCTCTAAGTGCATGTCCATGACACAGTTAAATAAAAATGGAGAAAAAATGTATATATGTATAGTCCTTTTATCATTAGCTTTCGTTAGACTTATTAACTACTATTCTTAATTTATTTCCAAATTATAAGTTACAGTCTCCAATACTCACAGCCACATCTGACTTGATTTTGTATGACTATTTTTTATATTCTCTGATGTGA